AGTTCTTTATATATTTTGGAGATCAGACCTTTGTCTGTTGCGGGGGTGGTGAAGATCTTCTCCCAGTCAGTGGGTTGCCTTTTTGTCTTAGTGACAGTGTCCTTTGCTTTGCAGAAGCTTCTCAGTTTCAGTAGGTCCCATTTATTCAATGTTGCCCTTAATGTCTGTGCTGCTGGGGTTATACATAGGAAGTAGAAAGTTTTTTAAAAAGTTGTTGTTTGGTTTTTGTTTTTTTTTGTTTTTTTTTTTTTAATTTATATTTCCTTCAAATTCTAGTTGTGTCATTATGACTAAACATATGGACATAACTTCTAGAAAGATATCGAAATTGACTCACAGCTGTTTTGGATTTCAACTAAGCCTGGATACTGTGTATTCTGACAACTTGAATTGCCTACGTTAAAAGCGTTAAAATGTTCTTACAACACAGTACTAAATTTAAAAAGCAAATTTTATTTACTTATATCTGTTATTTATTTTGCAGGTCACGGAACAAAAAACCAAAGGTAAGATTTTTATTCTCTTTGTGTTTAGATTTCACCATGCTGCTGACTCAGCAGAGAGTGGGCACACTAATTAAGGTGGGTTGTTTGCAGTCACTGAAGAGCAGCAACGACAAACAAAAAGCACTTAGAATTGGGTTTCTAGTTGGCCTTACTTTTTAGGGAGCAAAAGAGTAAATACTTTGTTTTAAAAGTGTGTGAATCATGATTTTGAACTAAACTCTTTCAGAACTTTTAGTATACAGTGGCAAACTGCCAACTCCTAGTTTTTGATGACAGTTGCTGAGAGCACTTACCCATCTTGGTGCATGACATACATTGCGTCTGAAACTGGAATGTCACATCTAGAATGTTCAACGGCCTTCTGAACTGGATGGAGCCTGGACTGTGATTTTTAAGATACCAAATTTTGAATAAGCTAACTCTGCTTGAAAAAAAAATCTGATGTGTTGCAAACAGAAGCAAATGACCCTAGGCCATTCTCAGTCTGATGCTGCCCTTTTTGGTGGTTCTTTCTGCTCTCCTGATTCTAATTACGTAGTTTTGTTTAATAATGGGCATTGTTGGATAGCAGGCCTTAATAGTGGGAGAGAGAATTCCTTGAGATAATGCTTATTTTGAGCACTTAAACATGTGGTTCTCATTTAAGTGTATATTAAAATAGTTGACCTAGTCGTCAAATTATATGCACCCAGGCTGCTGCTAGACCTTGTCTTACCTAGGCTGGAGTTCTTAGAGATGTACCTTGAAGTGTCCATACAGCCTCAGAACATGAAAACCATTGACCTGGATTTAAAAAAAAGAAAAATCATATAAGGGTTGGAGACTTGGATTTGACAAGAGTCCCTTTAATGATGAGGTAGTTTGAGTTCAGTTTGGTTTGGTTGGTCAGTTTGATGACTAACAGGCAAAAACATGCCATTTAATGATCAGTTTTCATAGATGTTTTATCTAAAGATAGCTTTCTTAGGAAACATAATTATGAGAAATTCTCAAGTAAATACATATTAATCTATTATATTTCTAATCAAAGGCATATCAAAGAAGACTATGTCCTGGGCCTTTGTTGTGATTTAGAAAGTAAATTGTGTGATTCTGCTATTATAATTATCTTAATTGGTTAGGAGAATAGTGTTCTTCCCCTTGTACAGTTCAGCCATTTCCGAACCCACAAGTAGGCTTTCTTCTAGAAAAATCCATCAAATATGTATTTTTCCTAAGCCTATTTAGAAGTATACTTTGTGAATGGATTTGGGGAACAAAACATTTATCAGACTTTGTGGGGCGGGGCGGGGAGTCTCACTGTATAGCAATAGCTAAACTGGACCTCTTGATGTTGACCAATCTGGCCTTGACCTTGCAATGATCCTCCTGCCTCTGCCTCCTGGGTGTTGGGATTACAGGCACATGCTATTGGCTTTATGAAAGGACTTTTGCAGTGGTTATCAGGTGAGAAAATTGGTGTTTTCCTGACAAGCCGGACTCAGTGTTAGTAGAACATAAAGAATATGGTAGAAGCCAGCTTCTGCTTCTATCCTGTAGAAAAACAAAATCCACTAGACATTCTTTCTCCAAATGGTAATAACAATACCAGATCTGTTCGCACACACTATGGTCTCTCTTCTGCCAAAGTCTTAAAAATCAAGCTTTCCTTCCTATGCACCCTTCTACTTAGGTCTTTTTCATACCTACTGTAGATGAATTGTACTTCCCTGTCTCCTTACTCTTCCTGCTCCCCCAATCAGAAAATCAAGTCAGATAATCCCAAAAGGGAGATGAGGACCTAGCTTGGGTCTCCAAGGGATTTAATTCTTAGAACCAGAGAGAAGACAGGAAGTTTAAAAATGTATATACATATGTAATATGTATATTCCTATTTCTTCTTGAGTTGTGTCAGACTCACTAGCCTTGCTAGGTTTGTTCCATTTCATGATCAAGTCTTTGTTGGGCATTCTCCACCTCATTCTTTTGCCTGAGCTGACATTTCTGGTTCCTGTTCCTCTCCCCAATGACAGTTATCTTCTTAAGCAATCTGCCCTTAACTCTGAATCTACTCTTTTCCCAGCAGAGAAAAAAGAAAAGAGTGTGTTGGTGCCAAGTCTGGGTTGTACAAGGACTGAAGTAAGATTTTTCTGTATTTCAGAAAAACAGTGTATTGGTTATATGGTCTTCCTTTATCTTCCACCATTAAAAATAGTATGGTGAGAATCCCAGAAAGGAGGGTAGGACAGGGATTTCAGCTAGTCCTCTGAGGACATGGGCCAGCTATGCCTACTCAGCTAAAAAGAAGAAAAAGCACTTAGGCAAAAATTTAGATACTCTTTTGTGGATATTAAATAAACACAAAACTGTTTGTAAAATCAGCACCAGGTCAGATTTAACTAAGTGAAATTTCACAGGGAAAAGGGTAAGGCTAGGGTTAAAAGCCCAATTATACAAACTACATAATAGCAGAATTTGGCCGTAACAATTTAGCCTTGCTAAAGGTTGTTATAGGATGATGATTGCCTTAATGAGAGCTATCAGTATAGAATGAAATGACTAGTTTCTAAACACGAGCATGACCTTTAGCTGCTAGAAAATATCCAGAGTGGGAATTGCAGGCCTATAGACATCGGTATGGAATGGGAAGCCTCCATGGACCACGCACAGTTTGGGTCAGGTTGGCCAGGAATTTATCACTTCAGGCAGATTTAAATAATGTGGGGTTGTTTAGTTTCCATGTCTTTCTCACTGAGGACCCTCAGGTAGGGCTCTGGTTGCTAAGATTGAACGTGTCCACAGTAAATATCTGCTTTTTTCTAGTGAGGCTTAGGGTAAGTCAAAGAAGTGGGAGAAAATGGATCAGTTTTTAAATGCTGTGGTTCAAAGTACTAAATTATAACCTTGTCCCATACCCCATTGGCACACATCTGAAGGAAAGCATTTTCCATAACCATATCTGGGGTTGTGGGTCATTTTCTACATTGACTTCTGAGTTTATTCTAGGAAACATATTATAGTGAGTGCATGTCAGTGGCTCAGATAGACTACCAACAAGGCCCCACATTGTAGAGGCACCTGTGTGCTCTAATAGGTGGTAGCATTTGTTTAGAAATGGAACTAGGGCCAGTGAGATGAAACCATGGTTAAATTGTTTGCTATTCAAGCCTGAAGATCAGGGTTCAATCCCTAGGTTTATAGTGAAAAAAGAAAAACACCCAGAAATTGTCCTCTGATCTCTACACATTTTGTAGCATGTATATACCTGTATTATCTCTCACACAAAAATATTATGCACACATAAATAAATGAATAAAATAGAGAGATGGAGAGGGAATTGGCAGTCTCTAAGATGAGTGATTATGAGCTGTTACAAAACATGCACTCAGATAAGTGAGTGTCAAATTCTCATATGGGAGGGAATGAGGGTGGACAGTACCTGGGTAAAACCGTGGTGAAAAAGAGGAGTTCAGCGTGGGGTTCCTAGGTAATGGTGTGTGTTTGGGATGAGGACAGACAGATTGATTCTTAAACACCTCTAGGCTGGAGCGCAAGTTTGGTGATAACTTCACAATGCTAGGAAGTAACGGAGCTTAGGGCTGGGGTCAAGTTTGAGGGGAGCAGAGAGGATAAGAGACCTAAGTTGGAGATAAAGGAAATAAAGTTACACAGTGATAATTAAGGCCTCTGCAGAAGAGTTTAATTCTCAACAGCTCAGTGTGAGAAGTAGGCAGTCCCACCTGTTTGTTATGGGTAGATGGAGACAATTGACCACTGCAAGTGTCCTCAGGTCACTGTACAAGCGCACGTGCGCACACACACAAATATATGTAATAAAAAAACAACTTAAAAGATGTAATCTCAGTGTTTGGTGTGGTGATTTATACCTGTAATCTCATCTAGATTTGAGACGAGGCAGGAAGATCGTCATGAGCTGGAGGCTAGTCTGAATAAAACTGCAGAATTCCCAAGTGAGGGAGTAATTAACTGCCCTTTTGGAATTATAATTAAAAGGATGGTCAAAGGCAGGGGCTGCTCCTGTGTCCTACAAGCCAAATCTGACCTGCTTATTTTTATACTGCCTGTGAGCAAAGAGAGTTCTTTAAATTCTTAAGTTGACTCAAAGAACACTGTGAGAATGTAAAATTCCTGACTCACTGTCCTTGAATAAATCCTTACGAAAGCACAGCCATAGTCTGTGGCTGCTTTCACTCCTCTGTACACACTTTAGTTGCTGAAGCTAAAACCTTATGCCCAGTGAAACCTAAATGTTTACTGTTTAACCCTTGCTCCACAGTATGGAGGACCCCAAAGGAAAATGAGGAAGAATTGAAGAGCTACCAGAGTAAATTCAAAAGAACCAGTAGTCAGGAGCTGCAGGCATGATGACAAGTGCCCAGTGCCCTCTAGACTGGCAGTGAAGACCCTGGTGACTGGAGGAGGAAGATGTTGGATGCAGAAGCCAGTGTGTGTTAGTGGAAAGTGAAGAAGTAGAGATAAAGGTGGAGGTCACTGAGAATCACGTGGTGTGGGTTAAGTCACCTGTGCATGAGACAGTCTTCGAGATTTTAAATTGTTAACCTAAAGTAGAATATTTCCTATGACTCTAACTGCTTTTGTTTAGTTTTAATTTTGTTTTTGTTTTATTGGGTATTGCATCTAGAGTCTCTTGCTCACCACAGAACTGCATCCCTAGCCTTTTTACAAACATTTCTAGGTCAGGTCTGTGTGTGTGTGTGTTTGGTCCTGTTAAGATGAAGGAAGTGGTAGCTTGTATTGGTTCTGTGCACTTGCTGGGTCTGTTGTATAAATGAACAATTCAGAAGCTTGTCAAGTTCAAACATTTCTTAAAGAACTCTTCCTGGAAAAAAATGGCACCTTGCTGATGCTTTCAAAAAATGAGGCTAATTAGAAGCTGAAACTGCAAACTAAGAATGTTGTAAGTTAAGAGAGTAGAAAGGGGGACGATTCAGTCAATAGGGTGTGTAATTTCTAAAGTACACGATAGAAATGAGAAAATAGGATGCAGCATTCTACAGTGTTTTCTTTTCTATGAGGCAGAGTCTGTGTTTATTTGAAGCATAGACCTTTGGTTGTTGTTTTGGTGGGATTGAACTAACCAGAGTTGAGCTAGGCAGCCACATCATACCTAAAGCATATGTAGGCTTTCTCTAGCAAAGAAACTGAGACCTTGAGGCTTTTGAATCCCAGCACCAAATAAACCTGGTTCAGAGGCTAGAGTAGATCATTTTAGAACTACTTATGCTTCAGCCTGCAAATCACTGGCATTGAGAAGAGAGGCCTGGCAGGCACCTCTCTGAGACCTGACACTCCGGAGGTACACTAATTCTGATGTCTTAGCTTTGTACTTGAAGAATCTGTAAAAATATTTGTGCTCCCACCTAACAGTTCCTCCAGTAGATGTCATGGATTTTGCTTGCCTTTCAAACTTAATTTATCATGTGTGTATGTGCGGTCAGAGGATAGCTTGCAGGAATCATCTCATTCCAGTGTGTGGGCTCCATGTATTTTAGGCTTGGTTGCAAACACCGCTACCCACTAAGCCATCGTGCTGTCCCTTATTTATTTAAAGTTCATAAAGAAGTGTAATAAAGAAAAAAATCAGCTAGGCAGTGGTGTTGGTGCATGCCTTTAATCCCAGCACTAAGGAGGCACAGTGTTGCTTTCTTTTTTAATTATTGCTGCCTTTTAAGCTAAGGCTATCCTAGTCAGCAGCTGTAACCCCTCACTACCACACAGGAGCCTTAACCTGAGAAAATTCTGTTTCCTTGGGTACCGACTCTTTCAAAGCTACAAAAGGAACTTACCTAAATCTCTGTCCCAAAGAACTCAAGATTCAAAGGTTGAGGTAGAATTCTGCTCCCCCAGAGAGGCTGAATAGCAAGCAGCTCACCTCCTTGTGTCTCCCCAGAAGTTCTCATGCTTCTCCTCACCTTATAAGCCCTTCTCCACCTGGCTCCTCCCTACAACTTCTCGTCAGCTAGTTGCTGACGCAGACTCCTGACTGCAGGTGAATTTTATTTAATCAAACATATCTTTGCATCCTTAAACAAATGTTCCATAGCATAAACAAAAGTAACACACCTTAAAATAGTATTCTACAACAGCAGAGGCAGGTGGATCTCTGTGAGTTCCAGGACAGCCAGGACTACACAGAGAAACCATGTCTTGAACCAAAAAAAGAAAGAAAGGAAGGAAAGAAAGAAAGGAAGGAAGGAAGGAAAAGAAAGAAAGAAAGAAAAAAGAAGAAAAATCTGGCCATGCCCTCCAACACAGTTAGCTTTTCTAGCTAAGTCCTGGAATTTTCAGCAGCTGGGCTCCAGAAACAGCACCATGTCAAAGGAAAAATAATGGAGCTGTGTTCTCATCACATCTGTCCTATCTTTGGTATGACTGGGAGAAAATACCATAAAGGGGTTGTACAAGGACTTGTACAGTGTATAGCACCAGGGTTTTGGGTTCAAGCAACTGTGTATACTATAAAGTTAGTCAGACCCTTCTCAGCTGAGGCTGCTCTTTGATTCTTATTTAAGAGAACAAGTTAAGGCACGTGGGCAACCTGGTTAACTTAGAGATCCTAACCCAATTGTAGAAGAGCAGCCTCACAAACTAGCTGGGAAAATCCACCTAGCTTTATTCTCGTAAGAGCAATGAAGATTAGTACGGCATGTGGAATATTCCAGAAACAAATATTTTATTTAATAGTTTATTTGTCCAATGTCTCCTATAGGTTCTGCAGAGAGCACTATGTTAATATTAGACAATGACTGGTTTAGTTTTTTTTTTCTGCTCATCACATTACAGCCACCACCCTTTTACCAGGAGGCCAGTACTATCTTGTGATTGGCTAAGAATAGACATATGAGTTGCCTGGAACTTACTTTAGCCAACTATTCTTTTCTCCTGTCACTCACAGTATTCAGTAATGTCCAGTGGTGGCTAGTCTGGGCCCCTGCTTTCTGATGATGTATCTCTCTTCTTATAAAGGAGCCAGCTAAATGGCAACATGCTGGCCCAGCATCATTTCAGCAGTCAAAGCAATACTGCTACCAGAGATGGTTGGCAGGGGTTTGGACCTCAGACTAATTTCTGTAGTACTGTCAACCACTGGGGGGGGGGGGGGTAGATTTTCTTGGGGGAAAGTGAAATTTATTTATTTATTTATTTATTTATTTATTTATTTATTTATTAAATCGGGAACTCACCAAGGCCAGCTGGCCTGGGTCTGAAAAAGCCTGGGATAAAATCGGACTCGCTGAACATAGCTGACAATGAGTACTACTGAGAACTCAACAACAATGGCAATGGGTTTTTGATCCTACTGATCTTTTTTTCAAGAAGGTGTTTCACACTATTGTTCAAGAATAAGCACTGGGTTTATAAAAAGAATAAGAAGAAATACAGAGTTGTAGTCTTTAACTTGTATAAAGACAGGCATAGAGCTAGGAACCTCTGTAGGCAGGGTTGAGGTAGGAAGCAGCAGGTCAGCAGGGGAGGTAATTTCATGGTTGCTCTGCATATTTCTATGCTGTTTAACAGTTTATATCAATGAAAAAGCTAAAACAGATTTTCTAAAATAAAAGCTAAGAGATTTCTAATGTTCCTGTTATATAAACAGTCACCAATAAGCTTTTGCATCCAGGTGGCTGTAGGAACCAAAGGCAAGTGATTCTCTAGGTCTGTAGTTCTCTGTAGGTGCCTGTCCTACAAGGAGGAAAATGAATGATGGTTTCTATTCCTGAGGGACTTACGGCCAGTGAGAGCAAGACCAGATGTAATCACTATATTGCAGGAGTATGAGTGAAGCGTGCTCCACTTGCCTAGTTAGGAGCTTCAGAAAAGTTCACAGAGGTCTTCAAAGAAGTGGGTTGATTGTCCTCAAGGTAGCTCAGGGAGTTGCTGCCAAGCCTGACAACGTAAGTTCCAGTCCTGGAACCCATATGATAGAAAGACCCACCTCCCTCTAATTGTCCTTTGGCTTCCACTTGCTTACCATAGCGTGTGTACACACAGAATAAGTAAATGGAAATAATAAATTTCCTTTCCTTGAGAAATTGGAGGAAGGGAAGGTCTTGGGCTACTGAGACTTTGGCACAACCGTTTCTAGCTTCCAGGATTTGGTGACGTGAGTGATTCCCCACTTAATTGATAGAATGTACTGTTTTTGATTCTTTGTTACTGTCACCTGCTGCCACCACTCCTACTTAATAAAGTAAACATCCTGGCAGGAATTTGAAAAGGCAGTCCCTTCAGAACAGAGCGATAGATTTGCCTTCTTAGAATAGTCTTCTGTGAACTTTCTTAAAAACAGACTTTAGAAAAATAGATTTAATTTCAAAGACTTTCCCAACTCCTGTCTTTCAGTGCCCGAAGTGACGAAACCAAGTTTAAGCCAACCAACGGCCGCCAGCCCAATTGGCAGCTCTCCATCGCCACCAGTCAATGGTGGCAACAATGCCAAAAGGGTGGCAGTGCCGAACGGACAACCGCCAAGCGCCGCCCGCTACATGCCTCGGGAGGTGCCGCCGCGATTCCGTTGCCAGCAGGACCACAAAGTGTTACTAAAACGTGGGCAGCCCCCTCCACCGTCCTGCATGCTCCTTGGGGGTGGAGCAGGGCCTCCTCCCTGCACAGCACCTGGAGCAAACCCAAACAACGCACAAGTGACAGGAACGCTGCTGCAGAACGAGAGTGGGACTGCGCCAGGTGAGACGGACACTGGGGCCAGCTTCAGAGAGAGGGAAAGCATTTCCTGTGCTTAGTTCCTGATAACAAGTCCATGAAAATCATTGTTGATGTAGACTGTATTATGCAAAAGATGGGAGAGGATCCCAGCATAAAATGTACATGAGCAATTTTCTGACATTGGGTTATGGTGTCTTGGCATGAAAGAATAAGATCATGCTTTAACTCCTAGGGTATGTAGTTCCCCAGCTATGTTCAGGAAGTGAGACTTACATGGGGCTTCTTCTAAATCTTCCAGAATCTTATGCTTCCAGAATGATCACGTAGGTTGTTGTATAGAATCTGGAGAGAACACCAGATATACAATTACATAGTTTTTAAGTAGGGTTTTTTTTTTTTCTGTTAAATCAGTGTTTAGTTTTAGAACTCTGGATTTTGAGCTTTGTTAAGACTGTAATATAGATGTGAGAGATCTTTCCTTCAAGAGTTCCATTAGAAGTTTTGATGATCTCTGATATAGCCCAGGTTGGTGTCAGATTCATGATCCTCCTGCCTCAGCTTCATTAGAACATGTACCACCAAGAGTTTTTAATAAGTATTATGTCAATAAATAGTAGAGTTTCCAGTCCCTTTAAAAAAATTAATGTGTCTTTTTAGATTATTTTAAAATTTAGTGTTTGAGCTAGAGAGAGAGAACACAGCAGGTAAAGATGGTTGCCACCAAGCTCAGTAGCCTGAGTTCCATCTTTAGGCTCTACCCACATAGTGAAAAGAACTGACTCCCAAAGATTGTCCTCTGACCTCCATATGCGCATCTTAGCACACATACAAATAAGTAAATAAAGGTAACTTTAAAAACAAATTTTGAAGGAAAAAAAAACTAAACTTTGAATATCATTAAGCATAGGCAAGACCAGCACAGTCTCAAGGTGTTAGGATTCTATGTGTCCTCATTTTAGTATATATGTGTATATGATAATTATAATTATAGATAATTAAAATTATATATACATATAAATAATTAAAATTTTATGTACACATACACAGATGCACACACAGACTTACACACACACAACACAGTGACAGGGTTTCTCCATAGCTTCGGCTGTCCTAAAATTTCCTTTGTAGACCAAGCCGACCTCAAACCCAAAGATTCACCTGCCTCTGCCTCCCGAGTGCTAGGATAAAAGGTGTGCAATACTGCCACTGGGCTAAAATGTTTTAGGTAGTATTATTTTTAATTCATAGTAATTGAAAACTGCTTGGCTAATGGAGAAATTAGTTTAGAAAAAAATTCATTATAAACATTATTTCCCCCCACCCCACTAGATATGGTACATTCTACTGAAACATGAGGTGAGCAGTAATCTGATTCACCAGATTACTCTCCTTGGGAGTCTGAACCTGTCTGATCCAGACTCCTATATCTCAGTGGCTAGCTTGGGGACAGTCATCATTCAGCACAGGCTTATAGAGCAGAAGGCACAGGCCACTGTATAGAATCTTCACGTTAGCAACATACTCTTTCATGGAAAGAGTAGTGTAGGAAAGCAAAGATGTAAACAGGGTTACCACACTGAGGAAAATGTGCCTTGCTGAAGAAAGATGATTTTTCAGGTGGCAAGCTTGGGAAGGGGCTCCACAGATGGAGTGGCACTTGGAGAATATCCATAAAGATGAATCGGTCTCACTGTGCAGATCTGGGAGGAGAAAACAGTAGGTCCAGCCTAGAGTGGTGCTGGGGTCAGAGGTGTGTTTATGTACTGTAGGCATCTTTGTGGAGCGTTGTAAAGGATGTAACTGGGAGGACTGATTGGCCCTAGAACATCTGTCTTAGTGAAGCCATCTGAGGGGTTTTACATTTCTATGCATTAAGTAATTGTTGAAAGCTCTCAGAGAGCACTGAGAGAACCAAAAAGGTGTTTTAGAAAACCACTCCAGCCACAAGTGTTAGAATAGATTGAAGAAATACATCACGCTTAAGGTCTGTCGCATTTTCTTAGGATACAAGAAGGTCCTTCTGTGTTAGCAGGAGTGGCAAGTAGGTAACTTTGAGAGGTGGTATGGACTAGTACATACAGCAGTAGCCAATGACAGGGGAAACTCCAGCATATTCTCATAGCTCAGCGCATAAAGACCGGATGACCTGAGTTCAGTCCCTAGAATCCACATGGTAAAAGGAGAAAACGAATCCCAGCTAATTTACCCTCTGACTTCCACACTGGCACCATGCCATGCTCACATATTATGCACACACCCATACTTACATAAAAAGGTGACTCTAGATGCTGTGTTAAAATCATATAGGAAGACTTACCAGGTGAACAAGCCCGTCTAGGAAAGATGCAGGAAGCTCTCTTGGGGCTGTCAGAACTCTAGGTATTGATGGTGATCTATGTACAGCTTATGGATGACAGATGATCTCTTTCCCAGAGTCAACCCTTGGAGGTGCTGCTGCTTCAAATTATGCAAATTCCACTTGGGGTCCGGGAGCCTCCTCCAACAACGGCGCCTCCCCTAACCCAATTCACATCTGGGACAAGGTGATTGTAGACGGGTCTGACATGGAAGAGTGGCCTTGTATTGCCAGCAAAGACACTGAATCTTCTTCCGAAAACACCACCGATAACAACAGTGCCTCGAACCCTGGCTCTGAGAAGAGTGCTCTGCCAGGAAGCACCATTAGTAACAAAGGCAAAGGGAGCCAGTGCCAGGCTACAAGTTCCGGGAACGAATGTAATCTTGGGGTCTGGAAGTCTGACCCTAAGGCTAAATCTGTTCAATCTTCCAACTCTACTTCAGACAGCAACAATGGACTAGGAAACTGGAGGAATGTGAGTGGTCAAGATAGAATTGGACCTGGCTCTGGCTTCAGCAACTTTAACCCAAATAGCAACCCATCTGCCTGGCCAGCATTGGTCCAAGAAGGAACTTCTAGGAAAGGGGCGTTGGAAGCAGAAAATAGTAATTCCGGTGCACAAGTGAGCACAGTAAGTCAGGCATCCAGGGAACAGCAGTCAAAGATGGAAAATGCGGGTGTTAATTTTGTTGTCTCTGGCAGAGAACAGGCTCAAATTCATAACACTGATGGACCAAAAAATGGAAACACTAACTCCTTGAACTTAAGTTCACCAAACCCCATGGAAAATAAGGGAATGCCCTTTGGGATGGGCTTGGGGAACACCTCCAGGAGCACTGATGCCCCTTCACAAAGCACTGGAGATCGAAAGACTGGGAGTGTTGGGTCTTGGGGTGCAGCTAGGGGGCCTTCTGGAACTGACACAGTCTCTGGACAAAGCAATTCTGGAAATAATGGGAACAATGGAAAAGACAGAGAGGACTCCTGGAAAGGAGCTTCTGTTCCAAAATCAACTGGGTCAAAAAATGACTCTTGGGACAACAATAACAGGTCTACGGGTGGGTCCTGGAACTTTGGCCCTCAGGACTCTAATGACAACAAATGGGGTGAAGGGAACAAAATGACATCTGGGGTCTCTCAGGGAGAATGGAAACAGCCGACTGGGTCTGATGAGTTGAAAATTGGAGAATGGAGTGGTCCAAACCAACCAAATTCTAGCACTGGAGCATGGGACAATCAAAAGGGCCACCCCCTCCCTGAAAACCAAGGCAATGCCCAGGCTCCCTGTTGGGGAAGGTCTTCCAGCTCCGCAGGAAGTGAAGTTGGAGGTCAAAGCACTGGAAGCAACCACAAAGCAGGAAGTAGCGACAGTCATAATTCTGGCCGTCGGTCATACAGGCCCACACATCCTGATTGCCAGGCTGTCTTGCAGACTCTTTTGAGCCGAACTGATTTGGACCCTAGGGTGCTCTCAAACACTGGCTGGGGCCAAACTCAAATTAAGCAGGACACAGTGTGGGATATTGAAGAGGTGCCAAGGCCTGAGGGGAAATCTGACAAAGGAACTGAGGGGTGGGAGAGCGCTGCCACACAGACCAAGAACTCAGGGGGCTGGGGAGATGCACCCAGCCAAAGCAATCAAATGAAGTCTGGATGGGGGGAGCTCTCAGCCTCGACCGAGTGGAAGGACCCCAAGAGCACAGGAGGCTGGAATGACTATAAGAACAACAACTCTTCTAACTGGGGAGGAGGACGAGCAGATGAAAAGACACCTTCCTCTTGGAATGAGAGTTCCTGCAAGGATCAGGGGTGGGGAGGTGGGCGTCAGCCCAACCAAGGATGGACTTCTGGGAAGAATGGTTGGGGCGAGGAGGTTGATCAAGTGAAAAATAACAATTGGGAAAGTTCTACAAGTAAACCTGTGCCTGGATGGGGTGAAGGAGGGCAGAATGAAATTGGAACTTGGGGTAATGGTGGGAATGCAAACCTAGCTTCAAAAGGTGGGTGGGAAGATTGCAAAAGATCCCCTGCATGGAATGAAACAGGCAGACAGCCCAACTCCTGGAATAAACAACACCAACAGCAGCAGCAGCCGCCACCACCACAACCAGAGGCTTCCAGTTCATGGGGAGGCCCACCCCCACCACCTCCAGGAAGTGTTCGACCTTCTAATTCCAACTGGAGCAGTGGGCCCCAGCCTGCAACCCCTAAGGATGATGAACCCAGTGGTTGGGAGGAGCCATCTCCACAGTCAATTAGTCGAAAAATGGACATCGATGATGGCACTTCAGCTTGGGGAGACCCTAACAGCTATAACTACAAGAATGTGAACCTATGGGATAAGAATTCCCAAGGGGGCCCACCGCCTCGAGAACCAAACTTGCCTACCCCGATGACCGGAAAATCAGCATCAGGTAGGCACCCACTCTTCTCGAAGGTGTTAGTAAAGAAAAGAAATCCTAGTCCACTATCTGTTAAGATATATCTATTTAACTTACTCTGAGGATTATTCCTTCAGTTCCAGCTTTGTTGTTCTGAGACTCTATTTCTGTAGGGCACTAGAGATGGCATCTGCTCTAGTACATTACAGGGGTCTTTTTTGGTACAAGGAAAAGCAATTATTACTGTTTTTTTCAGACAGGGTTTTTGTGTAGCCCTGGCTGTCTGGGAACTAGCTCTATAGACCAGGCTGGCATCGAACTCACAGAGATCCACCTGCCTCTGCCTCATAAGTTCTAGGATTAAAAGCTTATGCCACCACCACCTGGCTAGGTCCCCATTTAAGAACTAATGAAGAAAGTGACCTTATTTCTTTCCTTCCTGACTCTACTTGAACCCACCCTGTGTGTTTCTTTTCCCCCAGCAAAGGAGAGTACTCTGTGGTGTTCTCCCAGGAGCCTTTACAGTGCTTTATTACAGCTGGTATCTGGACAGCTGGGGTCTCCAAATTTATTAATTTTTTTATGGTGCTAGGGCTCAGAACCTGAGATTTGTGCATGCTAAGCAAGCACGCTATCCTAAGTGAAATTCTCACTTTCTTCCAGGTGACTTAATGGTTGGCTGTGGTATATTTAAAAGATGATCTCAGGACAGATATTAAACTGTTCCAATAACTCTTAATTCTGTTCTCAGTTTGGCCTGAATGTCCCTTTAAAAAACTTACCAATTTAAAAAATGCACCTTGTTTGTTTTTGTTTTTAGTTAAAATCAACCATAATGTTTAGTTTCCCAGTATTCAAAGTAAACCTAGTTTTTTTTAAGTAAATGTCATTAGTAACACTAATTATTCAAAGTGACTGCTTTTAACTAGCTCTTTTTTTAAGAATTAAAAATGAGGACAGAAATAAAAGATTACTCTTTAACTTCTCTACGATCACACTTGCTGTACAGAAAAGCAAAAGACACCATAAATGAGAGAATCTTTAGCCTTTTGGGTTTCTCACTGTAATCTCTTAGAATTTGTTCCATTCATAAATCTTGCTCTTAAACTATTACAAATATACCTAAGCTTTAATTTTTTTTAAACAGGGAAGGAATTACATTCCTGTAGTATTCATGTTGCCTTCTTTTTTTTTTTTTTTTGGAATGTGGGCTTTTTGAGGGGAAGAGAGATTGGATCCTGGGTAGGCAGGCAATATTTCCTGTAGCTATGTCCTGTATATAGCAATACAGTTCTTTCTCTTAATTGCTTTATATGTAGTGCTCATTTTATGAGCCCAGTATTTGTCTAACCTGTTTCCTCTGGTAGATATTTTAGTAACATCCTACCCACATTTGATATAACCTGCCTCCTTCTAATACTTAAATTGCTTCCAATTTTTTTCTAGAGTTAATGCAGTGAGCACTGTTGTATATGTTATTTCATCACTTTAGTACATATATCTAGGGCAGATTTTTCTGGCAGTGGAGTTACTGGGTCAGGAGTCATCTACATTAGACCTTTGAAAAAAGTGACTTTGCCAGATGCCCTCCATGAAGTTTGAATTTATCTCTGCCAAGATAATATAACTGACTTACCCACTTCACCTCCACTGTATGTTAAGTATTCAATGGATACTTAGAGATACACATTTTTATTTTTATTTTTTTTCAGTCTGGAGCAAAAGCACACCACCAGCTCCAGATAACGGGACTTCAGCCTGGGGTGAGCCAAATGAAAGCAGTCCTGGGTGGGGAGAGATGGATGATGCAGGAGCATCGACCACAGGCTGGGGAAGCACACCTGCCAGCGCTCCCAGTGCCATGAAACCCAGTAAGTAATTTGAGGAGTTCCTTATTAATTAGGAAATAAGGCATTTTGGTGAGGGCTGTTTTATTTCAAGTGCTGAGTCGATGCAATTCATAACCTGTAATATTAAATAGCAGCAAATAGTGAATGTTGCTGGCATGTATTCAGATGTTTACAGTGAGCTAAAAGTCATTTATGTGGTTGACTTAAAAGCAAATAAATGGCCAGGCATGGTGGTACAGACCTTTAATGCCTTTAATGCTAGCACTCAGAAGGCAGAAGCAGGCAGGTTGGTTTCTGTGAGTGAGTTCAAGCCCAGCCTGGTCTACATTGTGAGTCCCAGGACAGCAGGGCTCATGGTGAGACCCTGTCTCAAAAAATAAAATGTAACACAATAAAAACAAATGCAGGCTCTTCAAGCACTTGTCCTCATGTGTAACTAGGTTTGTTCCCTAAACCCACATTGTAGAAGAGACCAACTTAAGCAAGTTGTCCTTTGACAACATCTATGTGCACATGACCCACAAACAGTAAGTGAATGTAAGTAAAAAGAATCAGAATAGATTTAGTATCTAGAACTATAATTTGTAATATTGTTTATTTTTACCCAGAAATGTAAATATGGTCATTATAACTACTTTGTTTCTCCTCCTTTTTTTTCCATATGATTAAGACATCATTTATCAGTCGTCTGCTTACATAAGAGAATTTTAGGTGGGGAGATTGTTTGTTTGGTTGGTTTTTATGTTTGGTTGGTTGTGTTGGATTTTTTTTTTAATCTGACAAAAATGTCTTCAGGTTTTTAAATGAAAAATAAGCTACATTTGATGTAACTGGCAATTTGTAGTCACTATAATCTGCATACTGTTCTTTGGTTAAATTGAGAATTTAGTATCAGGTGCACGACTGCAACTTTCTTAGACTTGTTACAGCCAGGCAGTGGTGGCACATGCATTAATCATAGCCCTCAGGAGACAGAGAAAGGAGGATCTCTGTGAGTTTTGGGCCAGCCTGGTCTACAAAGAGTTCGAGGACAGCCAGGCTACAGAGAGAAACCTTGTCTCAAACGAAAAACAAAACAAAACATAAAAGTTCAGCATTAGTTCTGATCAAATAAATATGTAACAACATCTCTTTCCTATGGTATAACAGGCTTAAAGGTTAAGGTTTTTTGATTAAATACTGTAATTTTATAGAATGCTCAAGATAAGAAAAAGGATAAGTATATCCATGATACCCAGGACTCTGTGAGGAATATATTAGATTTAATCTAGAATTCACAACCATGCCTATGGGACTTTGTTATATTTTAAAAGTCTTGATCTACTCCACTTCATAGACTTCTGGAGTTTTCTGAAGACCTCGTTCTCAGATTTCCATTGTGAAGTCAGTTTTGTTATCATGGGACATAGGATCTAGTTAACTTGAAATAGATCCAGATTGCTTACCAGGCCTGAAACAGATTGTTTAGCAGGAATGGAGGATTTTTATGGGCCTTTCTCAGCTTAAGAATCACTATCCTCTACCACAGATCTGTCGTTTTCCCTCCTGTGTTCTGTGATACGTTCTGTTGGTCAGGATCATTTGTAGCTCTTGTCCTTCCTCTGGATGACTTGAGTGTCTCATGCTCAGAGGAAGGAGTACATCATTCAGCTGACACTGGCAAGGTGTGATCTTCCAGTCAGAAATGCCTTACACTTGGTACTGATTCCCATAATTAAGAATCAAATGCTTAGCCAGATGGTGATGGCAAACACCTTTAATCCCAGCACTCGGGAGGCAGAAGCAGGTGGATATCTGAGAATCTGAGGCCAGACTGCTCTACAGAGTTGCAGGACAGCCAAGGCTACAGAGAAACCCTGAGCTAGGCAAGTGCCCTACCACTTAGCCTGAGACTCACTCTTACTAAAGAGTGAGAGAGAGAGAGAGAGAGAGAGAGAGAGAGAGAGAGAGAGAGAGAGAGAGAGAGAGAGAGTGAGTGTGTGTGTGTGTGTAGGAGGTCAGAAGATAGTTTTGTGGAGTTGATTCTCTACTTTTAAAAAACATTGAGCCAGGCTGAGATGACTCATATCTTTTTTTAATCGCAGCACTCGGGAGGCAGAAGCAGGCCTGGTCTGCAGAGCTAGTGCCAGGACAGGCTCCAAAGCTACACAGATAAACCCTGTTTTGAAAAAGAAAAAATGATTAAAAATCATTGAGATTCCAGGGAACAAATCGGATTGTCAGGCTTGGTGGCAAGTACCTTTACCATTGACCCTGCCTTTTTGGTTTTTTGAGACAGTTTCTTTGTGTTGCTTTGGAGCCAGTCCTGGACCTAGCTCTTGTAGACCGGGTTGGCCTCGAACTCACAGAGATCCGCCTGCCTCTGCCTCCCCAGTGCTGGGATTAAAGGCTTGCACCACCATTGCCTGGCCCCAGTCCCTTTTTTTATGCAAGACATTTGTTAAATGTTCAGCTCTTCTCTGAAAAAATCAATCACTTGGCTTCCCATTTTCTTAACTTTTATTATTTATTTATTTTATGTGTATGAGTGTTTTGCCTACTTGTATATATGTGCTACACAGCATGCAGTTCCCCAGAGGCATTGTATTCCCTGGGACTGGAGTTATAGACAGTTGTGAACTAGGAACTGAACCTGGGTCTGCTGAAATAGCAGTCAGTGCCATCTCTCACAACCCATTTTTATAAAGAGATCATCAATATGTTTTATATATATATATATATTTGGTTTTAAATTCCTATTGCTTATCAGTAGGTGATATAAATCCTAAGTTTATTATATATTATATATATGTTATATAAAATTGTAACCCCTTATACCATCTGACTGTCAATACTTTGAGTAACAGTCCTACCAATTGCTCTTCCACCAGAAGGTCACTTGTGTGGCTAGGATGAACTCCATGAGAGAGATATAGCATTCACTTAGACCTGCTATAGCATGGCATGCAACAATTATAAGAGCCAGCACCATGTGCTTTGCAAGTCGGAACTTACTTGACTCTCATAGGCCTGGTCTCAAGGATAGCAGCTATCTCTGGAAAAAGTACAAAAAAGATCCATTTCCCAACTCCCTACTTCACTTGAAGAAAGCAAATAAATCCAGTTCTATACAGTAGTTTTGGAGGGAAATGAATGTTTTCTTACAAGCTTCATATTAACAATATTTGGTTAATTAACAATTAACAAAAAAGGGTATGGTAGTAGAACAGACTGGAGACTGGTGTCCAGTGCCCTCCTCTCTGGCTATTCCATCTTTTTTTTTCTTCTCCCGTTCTGTCCTCTACATTCTCTCATTTCTTACTGAAGCCACATCTAGGATCCTCCTCAGCTAATACATTTCAGTTACAGTTGTGGACCTAATAAGCTTCAAGTTTTCATGGCCTTGTGTTTTTATTCCTATTCTTATTTTGGCCTCATCCCAAACACGTAGACAACTGTTTATTTGGCATGCCTATTTGAAATGCCTATGTTTGGTAGTGTAAACAAAGAAGTACTTGACTTCCGCAGCCATGCTCATTAAGAGAGACCAGTTTCTTCTCAGTGAGGTGTGAAATTCATGTTCATGTTCACTCTCTACACACACACCTTCTGCTGATTTGTTTAGGATAGTGTCTGAAGTAGTTCATGTTGGCCTCAAACTCTTGGTAACCTTCCTGCCTCAGTTTCCCAAGTGGTGGGATTGCAAGTATGCACCACCACCCAGTTCTGAAATTTCTTATAATGGTGATGAGTTCTTTTTAGTTTTGAAATTACTGTCTCTCTGGTTTCAGGAAGACAGGTAGTCAAAAGATCTTGATTGTAAGGTTTGTTGTCTGCTTTAAGTATAATGCATTTGTCTTACCATGTAGATAGAGCAGACAGAACTGCAAGAATATTAAATTGCTGCGTTGCTAGGAATGGCTCTAGTTTTGTCACATGAACTTACTTCAAAGAATTGACTCACTCTTTTCTTAAGATTCCAAATCTATGCAAGACGGCTGGGGTGAGAGTGATGGTCCAGTCACAGGAACTCGCCATCCTAGCTGGGAAGAGGAGGATGATGGAGGAGTCTGGAACACCGCCGGCTCTCAGGGAAGCACTTCCTCCCACAACTCAGCAAGCTGGGGACAAGGAGGAAAGAAACAAATGAAGGTAGTGCTTCAGAAATGCTTCAGCTCCCTTATTCATTTCTAGAATTGTTGATAGAGGGTACGAGACAGTTGGAGTCACTGAGATCCTAAATAAAGGGGAAAGTATTTCTTTATAAATTAATAACCACTTCCTTGGTATCCCTTATCTTCCTATCCCATGGCCTTGAAATCTTGAACTGTAGAGTTGGCACTGTGGGTAAAATAAACTTTGTAAAGTAGAGGTAATTGAGTTTTGGTTTCCATGTTATAATAATTTATTTTAAGTTCCTGAGGCCTGCTTTACAAATGCTTTGTGCTTTTGCAATTAACAACAAGGAAGTCCTATGGGTAAATCTCCATGGAAATGTAGAAAAGACACCAAAGGAAGATATAATAATGGCTTTCCCATGGTGATCAGTGGGTCTTGATTTTACCTGATTCATCCCAAGGCTCAGAGCCCTTCCTTCAGTAAAATGTAAGCCAGCCCAGTTTTTAGCATTGCCATAACTAAATGCTTTCCTCCTATTCTGTGCCTTTCAAGCACCTCACTTTCCATATAACAACCAGTTTTCCTCTTGTATTATCATGATTTTGTTATTATCTTACAGTCCTGGGACTGGAACCCAGAGACCTGCTAGTACTAGGCAAGCACTCTGCTGTTGCTTTTGTATAGGACACTGGTATTGCATCTGCAGCCATGATCTCTGCACCTGAACCACTCTCTTCACTGTAACCTTCTCTTTTACACACACACACACACACACACACACACACACACACACACACACACGAAATAAGGAATACACACCCATGAAACCCCCTGCTACCCTGTGACTATGCTTCCTCTTGTCCTTCAGATCCTCATACTCCCTTAGGAGTCCTTCAGGTAGTCTTCACCCCTTGGCCTGAAGCTGGGAATTTCAGTACCCTAACTTTCTTCTGTAGCATGGAACAGTTGGTTTTTGTTGGAGACATTAGTTGAAGCAGTTCTTCCTGGGTCTCCCTTCCCTAAGGACTTGACTTTCCTTACTCTAGTCACTAAAGAAAATGCACTCTGCTGCTCAGCATCTTGGTACTCTCATGTTGTCTGGTCTGCCTTGTCAGTCTTTTTACAAATTAACAATGGATCCAGACTGAGTGAAAGATCCTGATTAAATCCTCCCACTCAGGTCGCAACCAAGATTTACTTGGGAATTGAATGTTTCGGCTCTGATGCCAGTGATTCTTACTAAGGATAGTTTTTAAGTGTAATAAAATAAACATAATGTAAAATTGTCATCTTAACCATTTTTAAGTATGCAGTTCGGTGACATTAAGTCTATTCTCAGAATTATTTCCTTCTTAAAGCTGAAATCTCTGTACTAGTAAATTCACTGTCTCCTTCCTTAAGAGGGACTTTTTTTTTTTAAAGAAAAATATCCTGGCTAAATATAAGTATCTTGTTACTTTAAAAATATATAGCTTGAACCCAATGTGGTGGCACATATCTGCAATCAGAGCCCCTGAAGACAGAGGATGTAGTTCAAGGTTATCCTAGGTTACATAGTGAGATTAAGGACATTTGTTTCAAATAACAGCAACAATAATACAAATTATAATATACATAGCACATGTTTTACCTGTAGAGTGCACAGCTACACAAAGCCCAAACCCCATCCCACCAACCCCATCCCACAAATCCCTGCCTCCATTCCCACAGGAGTGGGAATGGAGCAGATGGAGAAACCAGAGCATCCTAAGAGTCATGCAGGCTTACCATGCCTTCCATTGTACCTGGAGCTCAAGGGTAGTGTCTTTGTCCAGGCCTCTTTCCCACTGAGAACCTGTGACCCTTATGCTGTGAACCAGATAAAGAACTCCCTAGAACTTCCACACGGAGAGTGATGTCCAGCTGAAACAGACTTTCCAAACAGCATTCGCCAGTAGCAGTTTTTCCCCAATAGAGTCCTGCTGGGGTTACAAGAGAGCATCTTCCTAGAAGTGGCCATGGTAGCATGCAGAGGTTAACATTGTACACACTTTGATACTGACTCTTTCCATGTTAAGAATAAACTTCGTTTTCCAGTTCACTGATGAGTAAGTAGGAGTACAAGCTGAACTGAAAAGTAAAATGGCTGAACCTAGAGTAAGAGGTAAGTACCAAAATGACAAGCATTAGGTTAGAAAGGTTGACTCTTGGCTCTGCATTTTCAGTGTAGGTGTATCTTGGGAGGCTGTGATAAGCTCTGTGACTGAGATTACGTTTCATTCCTGTAGTGCTCGCTAAAAGGAGGAAACAATGATTCCTGGATGAATCCTCTTGCCAAACAGTTTTCAAATATGGGATTGCTGGTAAGTTTTTCTCATGTGTAAACATATCTCAAATTTCGTATAAATTTAAGGACCACTAGAAAATTACAGATTTAAATATGGGGTAAGCGATTTATTATTATTTTCTATTTTATTAAGTGATATATGACAACATTAAAAGTGAATTGTCTTTGTGTCTTTTTCCTTGAAAAGGTGGGGACAAAGGAAACACTTAGATGACATTTGTATCAGTCTTTGCATCATTATTTTCAAAAAGAAAACCGGAGAAACTCTGCTAGGGTTCACTCTTTAAAGAATAATTCTTGTAGAATCTTGAATTTTCTTGTCTCGGGAACACTGTGGGGACAAATGATTTAGCATAGCTACACAGTTCATTGATGACTTGACAAGTCACAAGAAGAAGCTGTCGTCATTTGGCTAGCACTTGTGGAATCTGGTCCTGTGTACTTAAGAATGAGTTTATTTCTCCAGGCAGTTGGTGAACTAGTCCTCTGTTTATAGCTGTACTGAGACTGATTGCTTGTGGAATTAAATGCTAGACATTTAATTAAGCATGGATGGCCATCAAATTGTGATAGAAATGTTACCGTCTTTGGCTCCAGTTTTAATGTTTACTGCAGAAAGTCTTGTCAGGTGCTTGTGGTTAATGTGGCTTTCACATGAAAAATGGCTCCTCTTGTCTGATTGATAATTGTTTCTCACTTTGTGTGCTTTGTTTTATTCAGAGTCAAACAGAAGATAACCCAAGCAGCAAAATGGATTTGTCTGTAGGTGTGTATCAGACCACAAATAAGATTCGGTTTGTACTCATGGCTATGATAAGCCCTTAGGCTCTCCTGCCCTGCTTGAGTTGAGGCAATCAAATGGATAGATATTTACTAAACGCTTAACTCTATATAAGATTTCATGCCAGACACAATATGAAGGTTGAAAATTCAGATAACTGGACACCCAGGGAAGAATGTAAAGGAACGTTGTGTTCTAGGTGAACTGGTTAACTGTGAAGAACGCCTGTATGCCTTAAAAGCCAACCTTGCTCTACCTGAAACAATTGTTGCACGAAAAATAGAAGCTTGATTGGACTATACCTTTTTAGCATCCAGATTGTTTTTCACTGTTTTTGGTTTTGTTTGTTTGTTTTGTTCTTTTTCTGAGACAGGGTTTTTCTGTGTAGCTTTGGCTGTCCTGGAACTCCCTCTGTAGACCAGGCTGACCTTGAACTCAAGAAATCCACCTGCCTCTGCCTCCTGAGTGCTGAGATTAAAGGTGTGCGCTACCACCACATGGCTCAGATTCTTTTTTAAGTACTGAAAACTAAATTCAGATTATTTTAATACGTCTATGGTACTGCTAGTCTAGACCCTTAAGGTGACTCTCTGTACCCCAGGATTTCATCATTGACATACTTCTCCATTGTGGCTGGAGCAAAAGGAGGGACAGCCCTTCATCTGTGGAAATTTTCTCAGTAATGCTTTTGTTCACCCCAGGGAGCATAAAAAAGAGTTAAACTAAGAGTAAGAAAATAATCATGGATAGCAGTGATAGACAGTGTTTGAGCTGTGACCTGATGATGTTGTCATAGGACAGATTTCTAGAGCTGAGAAAGAGAGAAGGAAACAGTCATTGCACATGCAGACCTGGCTGAGTAGACATGGTTAACATGATCGGCTGTGTTAAATTCTTAAACTTTGAATTTTGGGGGAACAGGTGTGCCTCTATGATCTTTCTATTTCCTATAACTACTTTAAAACTCCAGCCGTATATCTAGCAGGTGCTAGCAAGCCAAACAGGCAGCTTCTCTCACTGAGAACACCTGACTTCATGATTAAGATGTATTCATCCAACACATCAGTCGTGGTCTGAATATTGTTTAGTCAGTTTTGCCTCAAGGTTCTTCTCGGGTCTTCCATGGCAGACAAGTGTAGCAGGTTTATATTTAATTTCTAAAAGTGGACCCGTATGTGCTCCAGGGGCAGAATAAGCCTTGAACCAGTGAGAATTCTGGTCTCATTCCAAAGAATAGAGAGGATTTGTCCCCAGGACCCCAGAGAGCAAGTGTTCAGATCACATGTGGCTCTTGTGGGAGACATTGATTCTTTTTGTTAAGTTATTGTTTATGTCCTTTCAGATAAGAAATTTGATGTGGACAAACGAACAATGAATCTCGGGGATTTCAATGATATCATGAGGAAAGATCGACCTGGCTTCCGTCCACCTAATTCCAAAGACTTGGGAACTGCAGACAGTGGGCCTTACTTTGAGAAGGTGAGCTGCGTGCTTTGTTTAAGTTTATGAGAATTGCTATGTTCTTACTGTCTTCTGATAGCAAATTCTAGACAAATGAACATCACCTGCATTAATGTGGTGACATGAAAATAGCTGATGTCAACAGGTGATTGGGCAGGAACGAGAGCCATCTGTCCCTACTGTTGTTGTGACGAAGCTCTAAGTTTTGAGATATTCATGGAGTTCCGAGGGAGGTTATGGGCACTTAGAGATAAGCTACTGTGCACCTTTGTTCCTGCTGCTGTGCCAGCGACAGATGAAATCTGGGCTTTGTACAAACACATGTATCTCCTACAAGCTTGGAGTCGGGTCTGGAAAAGCTCTCCATCTTTCCCACTTCCCTAGTGGCTTGTTTTTAGGTAAATGGTATATTCTTCAAATTCTCACTCCTGACTGAAACAAGTAAGTTTTACTCACTTGTTCTGATTTTTAATATTTCAAATGAAATTATTTCTTGATTCAGAATATGTTTTATAGTGTTCCTGGTCTCCTTAAGACATTTAAAACCAAAACATGGAGATCTAGGCCCATATTGTTGCCAGTCTAGGTGGCATCATATTCACAGGACGATTGCCTGACTTCTGCTTCAGGAGCCCTACCACCAGAGTAATCAGTATTAGACTCCTAAAAACAAAGTGGCAGCCCTTGTCTTGGTGCAATGGGCCGACTGGGTTACTAACTTAGGAAGAGGATGACAGGTGATGTGATGTCTGCTGGGCAAAAGTGCGATGGTTATTATCAGATCCAAATTTCATCCTGGACTATTGCTAATGCACTCTACTTTGTTTATTCCTAGTGTGTCTCTCTTTCCCTTCTTGCATTCTGTTGCTTCACTAACCAACACTCATTGTGATTGGCTAACTCCTACTACCTTTCAGCTGACTTTGCCTTTCTCCAATCAAGATGGGTGCCTTGGGGATGAGGCTCCCTGCTCTCCCTTCTCCCCTTCTCCCAGCTACAAGCTGTCTCCCTCTGGTTCCACACTACCCAACGTCAGCCTTGGAGCAATCGGCACAGGGCTCAACCCCCAAAACTTCGCTGCTAGACAAGTAAGGAGGCCTCTCAGATTTGTAATTGCTTGGCTGTGGCCTCACCTTGGCCCTGGTCTTCAGTTTATTTCATCATTTGTCTGTCTTGGGAAACTTGTTGATTACTGAATGCACAGAATGATACTGAGTATAGGTTTTACATCTTCTAGCCCATAGAAACCATCTCTCTTCATGTTTCTCAACATGGATTTTACTTTAAATCTGTTTCTTTTATCTTTTTATTTTTGGTTATAACTGATTTAGGAAAATATGAATGAGATTCTATAGGGACCTTATATAATCTAGTGACACATTTACCACTTTTTAATATTAGATTATATAGTTGACCAGAGAGGTGGCACAGCAGTTAAGAGAACTTGCTGTTCTTGTAGAGGATCTGGGTTTTGTTCCCAGCACCTGTATGGCAACTCCCAGACTCCTATAATTTCTGTTCAGGGGATCAGATACCCTCTTCTAGCTTCTGCGGTTACCAGGCATGCACATGGTGCACAGACATTCATGCATGCAGAATACTCACACATAAAATAAAAATAAATGTTTTAAAAGCCATTAGAATATATAAGTAGTATTCCTAGGATCTCTAATTTAGCATATCTATTAACCAAAAATTAGTAGCAAAATTAGTAAGATTAAGAGTAAACATTTGAGTATTACAGTATCTTAAGAAAATCTAGGTTCTTATGGCTGGGAATTTGGCCATCTGTTGTCTTTAGGATTTAATCCACAGTACTCACATAGAGACGGAGAGCCTTAGGAGTGAAACTTTGAAGAGTGGCTCTGCTCAAGCATTGGCAGCCACCAAAACTAGTCCTCCTAGCAAGGGCCGCGCATAAGCTTCTGAGCTGGCAGGGCCATCTGAGATGACGCGTACTCACTCAAAGGCCTGCAGTGCACGCAGCAAAGCTGCCAGGGGCTCTTGTAGTTTTAAGGAAAAAAAAAAAACAGGAATCTGGGGCTACCAATGCTATTACAGCAACAACTCCCAACAGTAGTGTTTCCCCAGCCATAGTTCTGTGCCCCCACACTTGTTTCTCTGCCTTTCACGGCAGGATGAGCCCAGGAACATGAACTATACAATGTGTGGTTCAGTCCATTCTGTTTCATGTGATGACTTTTACATGGGCATTAAAGCAGGATCCCTCACTACAGTCAAGTTGTGCACAACCTGTCATGCAGACTTAATGGAGATTATACTGTGCCCATGTATTCAGATTAGTTATTTCTGGATTGGGGGACTCAGACTGTTTTTCTGTTTTCTTCCTTTAATTTCAGTGTTTTACCTGTTTGTTTGTTTTATAGTTTCCTAAAGGGAAATGCTCTATATTCTTACATGAACAAAGAAAAACAATGTTTTGAGAATTTTTATTTTATATTGAGATATAGAAAATATAAAATGTGGTTTCAGGCTCACATAAATACCTAATGCTACTAGAAGGTAAACTCAAGTTTAATAGACCAGCCACAAGCCTGGCATTGGACTTTTAAAAAAGGGAATTCCTTGTCTTGGGTGGATTACTGCAAAGTCTACCAGTATTGGGTTGGTGCATATGTCCTACCCAAATACAGTTCTGTTTCAAACTGTGTCATGTGGAGTTCGTCACATTTACTTCATAATTAAAAGATAAAACTTAAGCCAGTCATGGTAACACACTTTTAATCCCAGTACTTGGGAGGCCAAGATGGAAGGATCAGGAGGCAGGAGTTTGAAGCCAGCTTGGGCTACAGTGTAAGATTCTGTCTCTAATAATAATAAATAGTAATAATATTTTCCTGAATCACAGAACATTTGACTCAGTTTGCTGGCTTTATTTTTAATTTATATACCTTTCTGAAATAAACTTTGGGTTGAGGCAAATAACTCCAATTAAGGAGACATAGAAATAGGTCATCTTAGAGCTTCCCCATATACCAGAAAAGCTTGGACAATGGTCAGGTAAACCATTATTGCATGTATACAGCCTTTGAATTACTGTCTTCTTCATTCCTAGATTTAATGTTTTTGAAGGCCACATATATTTGTTTGTCTTCAACACATCCATGAAAATCAGCAAAGCTGAGCCAAGAAAATGAGTTTAAGTGCCATAGTAAGATAGCAGCATTTCCATAGACTGCTATTGGCTTGCTTGTGCCCACTTTAAAAACATTAGAATGTTGTGTGTGGCTTCAGATACCTTTCATTATTGAAGCTTCTCAGGAAGCTGAGAATCTTCTTATAAAAGGAAAGACTGAAATTTAAGATGACTCTAGCTGGGCACGATGCCTCTCACCTTTAATCCCAGCACTGAGGAGACAGAGGCAAGTGGATTTCTGAGTTCCAGATCAGCCTGGTCTACTGAGTGAGTTCCAGGACAGCCAGGGCAACACCGAGAAACCCTGTCTTAAAAAGCCAAAACAAAACAAAACTAAAACTAAATGACTCTAAACTAGGTGCAGTGATGTGAGTTAAACACCCTTGGGAAAATAAAATTTGTGGTAGATCTTTGATCTTTTTATGATATATACAGATTTTAGATGCCATTTCTACTTTATGTTTGTAATCATTTTTTGTTTTAGTGCTTTTTAAATTCATTTATTTGCCTGTAGCAGTCTCTTAATCTAATTTTGTATCATTAAAGCCATCATGGTCTCTTTAGTGTTCCTGGAACTTAATGATGCTATTTAAATTCTTTAAGATTACCTTATCCCTATGTTAGACTGAAAGTAGCAACCTCAGTTTACAAATGCATTATTAGCTGTCTTTTCTGAAGATGCTCAAGTGAATGATTGGTGGGCCATGGATATTTGCAAATGATGTATGCATCCTATAGACTAAGGCTTTATGAAATTCTGAGAATGCCAAAAGGAAGGCTTAAACTGCTACAGAAAAAGAAAAAAAAAAAGAACAAAACAGAGAACATAGTCACTTTATCATGGTTTCAGTGAACATCATTAGAGAGTTTTAGTGTTTTGTTAGTGTGGAAGGAAATTCAGTTAGTTTGTTCATGGAACGAGGAAGGCGGCTCTGCAGACAATACCCTTAATGGGCCCTTTAACTCGGGCCTTAAACAGGCTAAGAATACATAATGTCGAGACTCTCAGGAGGCCAGATGTGAGGGATGGTACCTTCCTCGATCTCAGTACTATGGAGACAAAAACAGTTCAAGATCAGCCAGAACTGCTTAGTGAAACACTGTTGGGATGTGGGAATAGTCCTTAGGCAGAGGAAACAGCAGAAAGTCATCAAATGCAGTTCCTTTCCTGAAAAATTTTCCTTAGCTAGAAATAAATAAGAAAGGCAGGGCCCCGGGAGCCCAACTTCCTCTTGCTCTTGTTGGGAGATTAGAGATGAGCTCAGTGAAGTGTTTCATTGGGAATCATGGAATTGAGCTTTTTTTTTCTTTAGACTAGGCAATATTTATGTTTTTTAATAAGTTACAGGTAAGTAATGTTTATTCCCATGACCTAGAATGATATTTCATATGTCGATGTAAGATTGATGAGCGTTTAGCATGTAGCAAAGAAAGCCAACAGATTCAGAACAGGAACATGTGCTCAGAGCTAGAGCGGGGTCCCTGTGGATGGCTATGATTGCTTACGCCAAATGATTGGGGGAAGTGATACCAAAGAGTTACTTTACAACTGATAGTTTGGTTATAGTGTATATTTTTACCCAGGTGCCTTTTAAGATAGATCTCAGATTATGGAGTTTGAGAATTATATTTGATAAACTCAGATTTTTGTTGGCACACACCTATAATCCCAACACTTAGGAGACTCACCTTGACTTTGAGCCCAGGCTGACTACAGAGTGAGACCCTGTCTCAAAAAAGTAGTCTTGAAGTTTTACACAGCGTGTTCCTTTTAGCCACAAAAAATGTAGCACTACTTTTAAATGTTAATAAATTTAACCTTTTCAGTTTATAGAACTTACCTGACCACCTGTGGTGAATGATGTGCCCGTGACTCAGTTTGAGTAACTTTCCCCCAACATCCTAACATGAAGAGCCCCTCAGTTCTAAAGCAAATGCTATCATTCCATGGACTAGAGATCTTGTTTCTTCTTATCAATAGAAACTAGAACTAGAACTGCTCTTTGACTGTTTTCTTGAATCGATAGAAACATCCTGACTGGTACCGTTCTCTCTGCAGGGCGGCAGTCACGGTTTGTTTGGAAACAGCACAGCACAATCGAGAGGCCTGCACACTCCAGTGCAGCCACTGAGTTCTTCTCCTGGTCTCCGGGCGCAAGTGCCTCCCCAGTTTATCTCCCCCCAGGTAAGTTTTGTGTTCTCACCTTTTGGAGTTAGAGAGCATTCAGGTGGTGACCCATTGTTATTTCCTGGTTGGTGCACACGAAAGGAGGAGCGGTTACAGTTGGCCATTTGGCAAATCCAGATGCTGAGTGCAAGGTTGTTAGAACATAGTATCAGACCCCCTTTATAAGTTACATCATACATACAAAGTAGGCGCTTTGCAACTGCCAACTTGTCATAGATGGTCAGCAAAGTTTGGGGATGAGGGTGATGCTTCACTTGATTAAATGTTACTAGCATCACTGGTAGTGAAATTTAAACTGAAACTTGAAGTAGAAGTTCAAAATTCTAGGTTTAGCCACAAAAAAAGATTTTCCAAGCCACAGAAGCCTCGTGGCAGTGCAGTAATAGCTGGCAGTTGGTGTGTTAAGGAAAGGAGTTGGTTTGAATGGTTGATGTGAACAGTTGATAGAGATGCTTGCCTTGCTCAGTGGGATGGGGAGAAACTAGACAAGGAACTGAGGGCAGAATGTGGCAAAGCTATGTTTGCACTACTCAGGAGTTTGGATCTTGTTCTGTAGACCAGTCTTTGTCAGCTTGTTCATAACCAGGATCTGGGCTACTACTAAAGGTCTCCCTCACTCACTCTATTAAGACAGAATTCTTGGGATTTGGGGCCTGCTCAACCCTAGGTAGTATTTTTGTTTGTTTGTTTTGTTTATCTTTTAGTAAGGCTACAAATGTCATTCACTGGTAGAAAGTTCATGTGGCATGCATGAGGCCCTACATTCTTTTCCCAGCACAGCCAGGAAAAAAAAGAATTGTTACAGCCTTTATTACTGCAGTTGCCTTTCCCTCCTCAGTGGGCTATTCAGAAAGTAACATTCTGGTGGCTTTTATGTGCCTTTACATTTCTGCCATTTTGCACCTGCAATGCTTTGTTAAAAGCCATATTGATTGCAGCAAGATTTTCACATTCCCAGCCCAGCAGGAGACCAAGGGCTTTTAAGCCAGCATAATTAACTCCCCACAATGGGAATATGCAAACCTGCACTTTAATTACTTTGCATCCTAGGTTTGAACAGCCATTTGCCAAGAGCATAGTAGTGATGCTTTCAGGTCCCTTTGTAATTCTTGGAAGGAGGCACTGTATCTACAACCTGCAGAGGCAAGGGTAAATAGAACAACCTTCTCCTCCTGAGTATAACTTTTTTTTTTTTTTTTTTTTTTTTTTTTTGCAAATTTTTGAGGCAGAGTTTCTCAGTGTAGCCTTGGCTGTCCTGGAACTCACTCTGTAGACCAAGCTGACCTCCAACTCAGAGAGATCCACCTGTTTCTACCTTCCAAGTACCGGGATTAAAGCATGTCCCACACCACCCAGCCTGAGTATAACTCTTGAAGTCTAAGACTTTCAGTTTAAGGAGCATGTGCGGTGGTGCAATATAAATATAAGAATGCCTTATGACTGGGTGGTGGCGCACACCTTTTATCCCAGCTCTTGGAGGGCAGAGGTAGGCGGATCTCTATGAGTTCAAGGCCATCCTGGTCTACAGAGTGAGTTCCATGACAGACTCCAAAGCTACAGAGAAACCCTGCCTCAAAAAACCAAAAAATAAATGAATTAACTAACTTTTTTTTTAATAAAAGGAATGCCTTATATTGATGTGCTTTTCTACATCTTTAAATAGTGTTCATTTTGTCTTCTTTTTATTTTGGGCAGTGAAACCATATAGTATATATGAAAGAATATACAAAGCCAGGTAGTGGTGGCACATGCCTTTAATCGCAGCACTGAGGCCAGCCTGGTCTACAGATTTTGTTCCAGGATAGCCAGGACTACACAAATCCTGTATATATGTAGTATATATGAAGTATATTGGGAAATTTTAGAAAGTGGGTTCCACATACTTATTATAAGACTGGGGTGGGAGCCAAATCCCACAGGCATGTTCATGCTGTGCTGTGAATTCAACATTTCAAAGAGAGGTCAAATAATTGTTTTAAGTTGGTTCGTAATACTCAACATCACCAGTGTCTCTTAGAGGATGGAGAGGAAGCAACCAACCTCACAGCAGAATAGGTTGGGTAACCGGATTTGATTGAGATCATGAAAAAAAATGAGTTGAAGGACCATATATATAGCAAGTCTGAACTTGATGAGATATTCCTATACTAGAGAGCATTAAAAAAATAGAAAAAAAATTCATTCTTGAGAATGTTCAGAGGTGGTAACTTAAAATTAATAGGGGACTGCCAGGCGTGGTAATACGTGCCTTTAATCCTAGCACTTGGGAGGCAGAGACAGGTAGATCTACATAGTGGTCTACAGGCCTGGTCTACAGAGTGAGTTCCAATACAGTCAGGACTGTGAGGAGAAACCCAGTCTCAACACAAAACAAAAAATAATAGGGAACTGAGCAATTTGACTTGGATCAAGGTGCTAAGGAAAGGTAAGATCAGAACACTTAATAGGAAAGCAGTGGATGGGGTACAGAATGGGAGATGTAGGGAAGAAAGTCAGAGACACTAAGATTAGAGCACAGGCTGAGGTTTGAGGGGAAAAGTAAGGATATACTAAAAAGGCCTTTTTTTCTTCTTTTTTTTTTCATTTTTGTTTGTGACTTTTTTTGTCTGTTTGTATGTTTTGTTTTGTTTTTTGTCCTTTTTGGTTTTTTGAGACTGGGTTTCTCTGCGTAACTCTGACCATCCTAGAAATCTTTTGAGACCAGGTTGATCTCAAACTCACAAAGATCCGCCTGCCTCTGCCTCCCAAGTGCTGAGATTAAAGGTGTGCACCACCACCACTCAACCATGACTTAGTTCTTACACTAGTGTGTAGCACCCACTGGTGACTAAGTAGTGCTTCTTCTATTCTTTTGTCTTAAGTAAGATGTAGAGATGGGCCTGGAAAGATGGCTCAGCAGCACTGCACTCAAATGGTGGTTCACAGGTGCCTGTGCTCGGCTTCCATGGATTCTGCCTCCTTCAAACCTCCTTGAGCTCCTGCATGCTCATAGTGCACATACATACACACATAGGTACACACACATACAAATAAAATAGCCTCCTGTGTGTTAGAATTAAAGGTATGCACTACCAGGACTAACCCAAAGAACCTTCTTTTATTTATTTATTTATTTATTTATTTATTTATTTATTTATTTATTTATTTAAAAAAACCATAAAAAGGGCCATTCTGGTCTACATAACATTCAAGGACAGCCAAGTCAATAAAGTGGGTCCCTGTTAAAAAAAAAAGAAGAAGAAGAAAGAGTGAGAGGAGATGTAGTTCAGTGATAGTGTTTCATCCTTAGCACTGAGGTGGGATGGGAGGACAGCTAATAACTGGGAGCTTTAACAAATCTTGCAGCAGAGAATGAATTTATAAAAAGAAAGTTAAATGCTAAGACATTTGTTTGGCTTTGTAATTAAGGGGCTCTTCTCAGGCTGATCAGCTTCAGCCTGGGCAGAAGTTTTAGTTGCATCCTCCTAGATTCTCAGCTCTACCTAGCTAGTTCTGCATTTTCATCCATAGTCCCATGGGGCAGCAGAGTAGCAATAAGTAGACAAAAATTATTTGAAAATAACTTGGTAAATGACTCTTAAGTTAGAATAATAATGACAGTGTGTTCGTTTAATAAGCATTTTTAGAGTATCTGCATAATAAAAATTAGAGACCCATTCACATGGGTTCAGTATTGTGGGTGGAGCTAGGATTGTGACTCTGATAGAGTGCTTGCTTGCCTGTCACTGATTCAGGCTTTGGGTTTGTTCCTCGTCACTGGAAAGGTAAAGAGAACTCAGGGAAGCAAAACACTTAAAATACTGTTGGTTATCATTGATACTGAGCTGACGGTTAGAGAGTTGGGATGTGAGCATTAGAGACCCGAGGCTTTGTTAAAGAAAGTATGACTTTGAGCAGAGTGCTTCAGGTGGCCACATCTACTTGGTGTTAGACTGTACCTAGAACATGACTTTCTGTTCTTGGTTCTGCTTTGAGAAACAGGTAGAGGTAAAAGAAGCAGATGTGTTAGCTTGAAGGCAAGGAACTAGGGAATTCTGGTCTTGTTTCCTGAAGAACCATCCTGTGATGTAAGAATGGACGCTACGAAGCTCATTTCTAAGTCTTTGGCATAGGTTAACTCAAATGTCTCGAACAACACATGGAGGTTTTTATTGGCTGGTTTAGTTGGTTAATTACTTTCTAGTCCTGTTTTGGGGATAGGCAAACAAAATTCAAAAAGGTTAAATAAGGTACTTGTTCTGAGTCACTTGGCTTAGAAATGATAGAGACTGGAATACATGCCAAGGTAGACTGTCTCAAACCCTAAAATCAGTTTTATTTTTTATTTATTTGTTTTTTCTTATTTATTTATTTTTGTTTTTCAAGACAGGATTTCCCTATGTAGCCCTGGTGAAAAAAATACAGATATTCTTGTTTGTATAATTAAGTGCTTTCTGATAAGTATAATATTTTGTTTGGTTTGGTTTGGTTTGGTTTTCGTGGGGGGAGGTATTGAGATAGGATTTCTCTGTGCAGCCTTGGCTCTTCTGGCACTTGCTCTACCAGGCTGGTCTTGAACTCACAGAGATCCTCCTGCCTCTGTCTCCCAAGTGCTAGGATTGAAGGCGTGTGCCACCACTTCTGGCTTCTGGTAAACATTTATTAGCTCTAAGCAGTTTATCATGTTTTGCTATATGGCATGTTTCCAATATTAATTTCTCAGTTAGAGAAAAGCCATATTGTCATCATTTTTTTTCTAAAGATCTTTTTTTCTGACTTAAAATTTCATCATTTTTACTTCAGGAAGTTAGAAAGTCTTAAGAGAACTAAAAAGTTAACAGCCTCGTAGTCCAGTGATAAAAAACAATTGGTAGCACTGTGGAGTATCCTGCAGATAGTTTTTAAGAAGCTGACAATGTTTGCTTTAGAGGTATCAGGTCTTTTTTTTTTTTTTTTTTTTTTTTTTTGGTTTTAATCCAAAAAAAAAAAGTTTTTATTTTGACAAATTCTAAGGATTTTCTCTCTGTCTTCTGGTTAGGTTTCTGCCTCAATGCTCAAGCAGTTCCCCAACAGTGGCCTGAATCCAGGTCTCTTTAATGTGGGGCCCCAGTTATCTCCTCAACAAATTGCCATGCTGAGCCAGCTTCCACAGATTCCCCAGTTTCAGTTGGTAAGTGGCATGTTTTGCTCCTGTTGCTAAAAAGGTTATTTGCTTTTCTTACTTCCTTTGCATTAACTTTCTTCTCTTTGTCACTTTGTGCTCAAACTTTTATACGGATGATTACAATTAAAATTGATATATCAGCTTGCATGAAGGTGACCTTAACTATAGACTAGGAATTTAGTTATGGGTGCTTTGTATACAGACACTCCATGTCAATCTCAGGAAGCTCTGGTTCCCTCCTCATTGTTTTGTAGGCATGTCAGCTTCTCCTGCAGCAACAGCAGCAACAGCAGCAGTTGCTACAGAACCAGAGAAAGATTTCTCAAGCAGTGCGCCAGCAGCAAGAACAACAGGTGTGTGGGTGGGGAGGTCTCCTAGTGTTCTGGGCAAGGAACACCTTTGACTTAACAGCTAATTTGGGATACTGGCTTATCATCTGTCCATTTCTCTTGGGCCCTTCCTTAATGGATGCTGACCTGCAGCTGGCAAGAATGGTGAGTGCTCTCCAGCAGCAGCAGCAGCAGCAGCAGCAGCAGCAGCAGCAGCAGCAGCAGCAGCGGCAGCCTAGCATGAAGCATTCGCCGTCTCATCCTGTTGGGCCTAAGCCACATTTGGACAACATGGTACCCAATGCGCTGAATGTGGGGCTCCCAGACCTTCAGACCAAAGGGCCAATCCCTGGATATGGTTCTGGTATGTTCTGTGTTGTGGAAAGTACTTAATATAAAATCTGCTAATCCAATCCTGTAGTAAGGGCTGGCTTTGCATTACCCTCCTTTGCTTTTTTCCTTTTAATGTTACTTATTTTCTTTAAAAAAAAAAAAAAATTGTTTTGAAGATAGTTGGGAGCAGCAGTGCAAACCTTTAATTCCAGCACTCAGGGAACAGAGGCAGGTGGATCTTTGTGAGTTCAAGACCAGCCTGGTCTACAGAGCAAGTTCCAGGACAGCCAGGGCTACAGATGGAAACCCTGTCTCAAAAAAACAAGCAAACAAACAAACAAAAAAAAATGAGTATGTCCAGAGGAACATACCAGAGGTTGACCTCTGACCCCCATACATCAGCATCCATATATTCATGCAGATGCTTACACATATAAGCCAATTAAGTATTTATTATATATCCTCTGAATGCTGCACATGACTGAAGTTGTATCTGTGAAAGTATGTATAAGTTTAAGTGTTTCACTTCACTGATAAGGCTACCTTCTCAAATTGTAAACTAAGATTTATGTGCATTGGTGTTCTGCTTGCATGTATGTCTGTGTAAAGGTAGAGTTGTAAGCCACTGTGTGACTTCTGGGGATTGAACTCAGGACCTCTGGAAGAGCAGGCAGTGCTCTTCACCTCTGAGCCATCTCTCCAGCCCCCATTAAGGCAGTTTTTTAAAAGGTGGGGTATGCCACCTTTTAAATTTTTGACATTAATTGAGACTTTTATCTCTTTAGAAATGAAAAACATGCTGTACACAGAGTCCAGGCAGTGAGACAATACTGATTAAAAAAATAAAATTAATGGCTGTATACAGTTACACATGCCTGTTACTTCAGTGCTTGGGAAACTAAGCCATGAGCATTGCAAGTTCAAGGCCAGCCTGAGCTACATGACAGGATGTTAGGTTTTTTTCTTGGTTTGATTGTTTCTTTAATGGCATCTAAAATTTGTTTTGATAAAGAAGATACCAATTTGTGTTTTAAAAAAAAGAAAAAATGAGTGAGGATACCTGAAATCTCTGTTCCTGGACCAACCACTGATTGGACAGACGGCTACTTTTTGCCCCGACCTACTAGGAATTCCAGCTAGAGCTAGGAAGTAGTAGGGTGTCTTTGACCCTGGGAGTCCCAGCTTTTGCCCGCTGTCTTTTATTTATTTTTATTTTTTCCCCCTCTGAGACAGGGTTTCTCTGTGTAACAGTCCTAACTGTCCTGGAACTCACTTTGTAGACCAGGCTAACCTCAAACTCACAGAGGTCCGCCTCCTTCTGCCTCCCATGTGCTGGGATTAAAGGAGTGTGCGCCACCATGTCCCAGCCCTAGCTGTCTTCTACATGTGATCTGAGAACTGACTTAAACTCAGAGTAGCCTCTCTGGGGCTTTAAGTAGTAGAGCAAATGCTTAATAAGTGTAAAGCCTGGCTTTTGTTCTCTGTGCTGGGAGGAAAAATACCTTTTTTCTACTTGACATATGACAGACCCTTTCCTGTGCTTGCCTGTATTTGCCTTCTTCTCTTGGCTATGGAAGGTCAGCGTGGCCTGTCAAGAGGGCCTCCCTTAATAACTTAGTAAAGTACAGTGGTAACTTTGTTACCTTCTCAGTCTTGTTTTCTATAAAGGGTGAGCTTGAGGGAAGAGACTGGTTAAGTAGATGTGGAGGTGCTTCTGACTTTAGACTTTAAACACAGCATATGAACACCAAACAGGAATTGTTTCCTGTAGTCAGACTTTTCTTTGGGCTACCAGCTCACAAATAATGACATAGAGACTTAATATTAATTATGAAAGCTTGGCCTTTAGCTTAGGTTTTTTTCCCAACTAGCTCTTATAACTTAATTAACCTGCTTTTAATAATCTACATTTTGCTCCATGGCTCAATTACCTTTCCTCTGTATCATATTTCTGACTTGCTCCATATCTTAGTGGCTCTCTACATACCTACATTCCTTCTCCTCTTCCTCTTTCCCTGGAAATTCCACCTATCCTCTTCTGCCTAGCTGTTGACCATTCAGCTCTTTATTAAACCAATCAGAAGGTGCCTTGGCAAAGAAACAGGCATAGTCACAGTATACAAAAAGATTATCCTTTAGCATTTCCCCCATTTTTATCTAAGCAAAAAAGGAAAGGTATTAGCTCAAACATAGTAAAACTATATACAATGAGAACAATTGTCAGGTATTATGTAAATAAAAAAGAAAGGTTTTAACTTGAACAGTAAAACTGTATACAATAAGGATAATTATCAGGTAAGAATTGCACTCACAAGGTCTAGTTCATATGTATTTTGCAAATTCAGAGAAAGTCCTGTATTATCTGTCCTGTCTTAGTGAGTCCAAAGTTTTATATCTATGCCACTTTCTATCATAACTTGTATTACCATCCTAAAATATATTTATTTATTTGTTTGTTTGTTTGTTTGTTTATTATGTATACAACATTCTGCCTCCATGTATCCCCGCATGCCAGAAGAGGGCACCAGATCTCATTACAGATGGTTGTGAGCCACCATATGGTTGCTGGGAATTGAACTCAGGACCTCTGGAAGAGCAGCCAGTGCTCTTAACCACTGAGCCATCTCTCCAGCCCCAATATTTTTTTTAGACCTTTAAATATCTTCTTAGATTAGCAACTTAAACTCTTAGCTTTGCCACACTGAATACAAATTCCATATGAAGGTTTTTTGATACCCATCACCCCCTCCTATTTATTTATTTATTTATTTATTTATTTATTTATTGAGGTAGATTGTTGCTGCCAGAATCATATCTATCTCACTATCATGAAAAACCTTGTTATTAAAACATCTTAAATGAATGCCATATCTTGTAGATCTCTGAAGTTTTTGAAGACCACCTATCTAAAATATTTTTAGCCTTGAAAACATATCTAATATGACTACAAGTTTGATTGTTATAAATGACTAACTACTAACCTGAATTTCTTAATTAGCCTAAGTAGTTTGTATTAATAATTTTCAAGGACTAGAACTACTTATTATATTTTTAAATACACTGCATAGGTACAGTACCTTAAATAAGAGTAGAAACACATATATAGTATTTTCTAACAAAAATAACCCTTAAATTTGTAACAATATACAAAAATTCATACTGATGTAAAATATTTGAGATTAATAGTTCTTTTTTAGTTTAAAAGTAGATTCAATAATCCACCCTTTTATTTTATCATTCCTATATCCCCCCTTTTTCTTTTCAGACAGAAATCCTTGAATCTAGCCTCCCTTGCTTAGTTTCCTCCCTTAACATGACCAGCAACAATTTGCAACCACCCCCCCTAAATGATGACAAACATCCATATCCCACCAAATAACCAAAAACTACCTATCCCACCTTTTGAGAATGTGGGCGTCATATTCTTAAAATTACTTCCTGCTGTCTTGGGGGCAACAGTATCTTTAGGGGACCCTGAGAAAATTGAGATAATGATCAAATCCTTGGAAAACTAGCTGTATCGTTTGTTGTCCAGTCTCTGTGTAATGGGAAAGTGCAGTGTCTTCTGTGAAGTCCTGGCTAGAGTAGTCTGTGGTGCTGAACTTATTCTCATACCTCCTTGTCAAAAAGTACAATAGTGTTGAGTGTGTAGCTTAGTAGTAGAGTGCAGTCTTACATGTGGGATTAAAAGTCTGCACTACCACACCTGACCTATTTCTGTTTTTTAAGTAATGAATGTGTTTTATGACAAGCCTTGCTACTTAACCTGGAACTTTTCTATGACTAACTGGCCTTGAACTTGATTCTGCCTTGGTGCCACAAATGTTGGCATGTTATCTCTGTATTTGGGTGCCTACCTATTCTGAGTAATGTACTAAGCCTACAACAGTAAGATTTTGCTAAAAAGAAATGTCTTTAAAACATAATATAGGGTTTGAGTTTTTGCTAAAATATCAAGTATCAGCTGGGCAGTGGTAGCACATGCCTTTAATTCCAGCATTCAGGAGGCAGAGGCAGGTGGATCTCTGTGAGTTTGAGGCCAGCCTGGTCTACAAAGCAAGTTCCAGGATGGCCCTATTTCTAGACCTGACATCCCCCCCCCCCCAAAAAAAAAAAGTACTGAAGGTAAGGATAGCAAAAATGCTGCCTGGTCTGCATAGGGAATTCCAGGACTACATAAAGAACAAACCAAAAAATAGTAACAAATGTTTCGGGTTTTTCTAAGGCTGAATACATCAAATAATATACAAAATACTTCAGGATGCAAGGGTAACAAGAATAATGTTTCTTAGACTCCTTCATCCTATTTTTCTGGTTTTTTGTTATTTTTGTTTTATTGGTTGTGGTTTGTTTGTTTGAAATTGGGTCCTGGAACTTGTTACAAAGATCAGACTGTCCTTGAACTCAGAGATCTGCCTGCATCTGTCCAGTTTTGTTCTAAAACAGTGCTCTAGTGCATACGCTCTCTCTCTCTTTCTCTCTCTGTGTCTCTCTTTCTGGGGCATACTCTCCTCTTTTTCTTCCTCCTCCTTTTCTGTCGTCATCGTCTTCCTTCTTCTTCCTCCTCCTTTTCTTCCTCTTCTCTTTCCCCCCTTTCTCCCAAAATTCTTTTCTGTTTTAGAGGAAGAAATTAAAAGACTCTAGCTGCTTGGCAGACCAGGACACACTGCATTGGGCTTCTTGCCATTCTCTAAGCATACCTGAGCCTTGAGTCAGACCTTGTGCCAGTTTCCTAAACCCGAGGTTGTGCAGCTCCTCTCCTCCCCTGGCAACCTTAAGCTTAAGACAACTTGCTCTTCCATGTTGGTATCAGATATGACTGGAGAGTGGTTGAATCTGGCCAGCTGTCAGGCACAAATGTTTGTTTGCTCAGTAAAAATGCGGGTGTAGGTAGGCACTGACATGTACCTAATGAGATAACAGTGACACCCATTTTCATACAATGAAAACGAGACAGCAGAGTTCTTATCAAGCAGGACTGAAGAATTCACTCTGTCGGCTAGGCTGGCCTCCAACTCAGAGATCCACCTGCCTCTGCCTCCCAAGTGCTGGGATTAAAGGTGTGCACCAACACCCCCTGGCTTTAGGCGCTCGATTTGTGGCTCAAGAAACATATAGAAATAACTGTGATCTCTTTCCAGGCTTCAGCTCTGGCAGCATGGACTATGGCATGGTTGGTGGCAAGGAGGCTGGGACTGAGTCTCGCTTCAAACAGTGGACCTCCATGATGGAAGGGCTGCCTTCTGTGGCCACACAAGAAGCCACCATGCACAAAAACGGTGAGAGAGCAAGCAGCCCCATGTTGCTAGCAGAATCTTCTGATGTTACTCAGTCCTTGACCAAGTATCCTGCATGTTTTGTTGGCTTCATATGTGTGTGTTTGTGTTTTTTTTAAGACTGGGTCTTTCTTTGTATCCCAGGCTGACCTAAAACTCCCAGAAATCTGTCTGCCTCAGCCTTCACAGTGTTGACATTGAAGATATGTCCAACCATACTTTAAGGCAGTATCTCAGGGGGCTTTAGTATGTAATCCCATCACTCAGGAGGCAGAACCAGGTGGATCTCTGTGAGTTCTAGTCAAGCAAGTACCAGGCTGACTTATATAAGATTATATAAGACCTTGTTTCAAAAAGAATTCTTTAGTTAAATAAATGAATAATTGCAATGTCTTTCTTGTAGGCCATGTTGGTCTTAAACTCATACAAGTCCTGCTGCCTTTTTGTTTGTTTGTTTGGTTGGTTTTGGTTTTGGTTTTGATTTTTTTTCCAAGACAGGCTTTCTCTGTGTGACAGCCTGACTATCCTGGAACTCACTTTGTAGACCATGCTGGCCTCAAATTCACTGTAATCCTGCTTCTGCCTCCCAAGTGCTGGGAGGTACCACCACCACCCAGCTGTGATTTATTTTAAAAAAATTTTTTTAAACTTATTTTTATTTTATGCACATTGGTCTTTTGCCATGGATGCTGGATTCCCCAGCACTGGAATTAATAGGCAGTTGTGAGCGCCGTGTGGGTACTGGGAATTAAGCCCAGGTCTTCTGGAAGAACAACCAGGGCTCTTAATCACTGAGCTATCTCTCCAACCCTTTTTTAAGCTCTTGTATATGTATATTTTGGCTGCATGTATTTCTATGCACCACATGTATGCAGTGACCTTAGAGACCAAGAGAGGGCATTGGATTGCTGGGGACTGGAGTTAAGATGGTTCTAAGTCTTCAGGCTGTGATGGCGCTTGCCTTTAATTCTAGCACTCAGGAGGCAGAGGCAGGTGGTTCTCTGTGATTTTGAGGCTAGCCTGGTCTACAGAATGGGTTCCAGGACAGCCAGGACTACATAGAGAAACCCTGTCTTGGGGGAGGGGCTGGCTGTAGGCTACCATATGGATGCTGGGAATCAAAACAATGTCCTGTAGAAGAGCAGCCGGTGCTCTTAACTACTGAGCCATCTCTCTAGCCTTCCTTTGGTAATTTTTTGAAGTACAGATCTTAATTTTTGTTAATGAATCTCTTGTTATTTTTCCAAAGTTTATTACCATCTGTCAGAGGGAGATTAGGCATAATGCCCCACTTGTCATGGGATTGAGATAATATTTACGAACTTGGGCATCCATAAGATTAAAATCCATTAAAGTGGGTGAGAGAACAGAATCCTCTTGTTGAGGTTTTGGTTGATTGGTTGGTTTGGTTTTCTGAGACAAGATCTTGCTAAGAATTTGTAGTCCATGCCTCTCTCAAACTCCTGCCCTAACTTGGTATAGTTGTAAGTGTAAATTAAAGACTAGCTTGATCTACATCTTTCAAGGGTATGCTAGGACACATAGTGAAACTCTGTCTCAGAAAAAGAAGAAAATGTCCCTAAACTCCAAAAGATAACTAGTAGAAGAGAATTCATAAGGATTGGACTTTTTCCAGATCCTCTTGTTCCCGCCAGGACAGCATTGACATTGTATTTTGATTGTGGATTAGCATTGCCTGTCCATAATTTTTGTTAAGGGTTCTCTATTTCCCTAGAAGAAAGATAAGAGGTCTGGATCTTCTTTTGGCCTTCAATAAATTGTTTGTTTAATTTGTCAGTATTTTTCTTGGACTCAGAGTTGTCTCTATGAGAGTCAATATAAATAAGTATCTGGTCATTCTTGTGGCAGAGCCCTGGCAGGCTTAACCCAGTCAACTCATTCAGCCTGCAGCCTTCCAGGTTCCCATTATAAATCCTCTTTATTAAGCCCATTATAAAACCTCTTTAGTAATCCCATCCAGAGACTGGGGAAGGAGCCACCCAGGTCTCCTACCCTGCTAAGTAGGATCAAAATCAAGAATAATTTACTGAAATTTTAAAATCTGTTTTATGGACTGAGCAAACCTAGTCCTGTGTCTTCCGTAGCTCTGAGCACTCTCACAGCTCCCTTAGGCCAGTGATTTACCAGGTCTGGGTAATAAATATAAAATGGCATGTGAGAGGATAGCTCAGAGTTACAGTGTCCTCTCTCCTCGTCAACTAATATAGATAATGTTTTCCCCATTTCTTAGCAATCCCCAAGATAATTGTTCCTTTCATTTTCCACTACCTCACTGTGCTGTGCCTCTGAACCAGATTAGTGTCATTGTCCTTAGAAAGGTAAATGTCCTCTTAGCAGAGAATGGAGACAATTTTAATCATACTCCTTTCATTACAGACCAAACAGATTGCTTTATTAAATATTTATCCAAGCATTTTAATACATTATCCTGCAGATCATTTTATGTGCTCATGACCACCACTCTTAAGACTATGTCAGATGAGTGACGGACTATATGAACTTTATGTGGGAAATAAGGAAATAATATCCCGTATGCTCCTGAATTTTTATTTAAAGTAAAAATTTATTGTTATCATTGTTAACTTAGTGAATTTAAACTCTCAACTTTTCCTGCATAAAAATGCTTGAAGGAAGCACTAACATAGCCCCAAGAATATCTCTGGGAATACAGGGACAAAGGATTTGCTGTTCTCTGTATGTGAGGCGGCCCTGGGCTTAGAAATGTAGAGTTCATTGCTGGCAAAGACCTCGGGCGGGAATTCCACCTCACTGCCTTGGAATTTAAAGCAATTGCAGATGGCTTTTTCTCCAATGGACTCTGAATATTGCAGATTCCAGATAACCCAAGCTTAACCAGCCCTTAAGAGCAGAGGTAGAAAGCGTTAATAAAAAGATCACTTAATACTCTCCAAGGTGCTAAAGTTGTCCAGTTTTTCCCATTTGGTACTTTTGAGCAGTTAGTGTAGCAGTCATGTAGATACTGTGCTTCATAGTGTGTATGAGTCTTTGACATATAACATCTGGGGTTTCCAGATTGAAAGGACTGTTGTAGAATGAGAAGACTCCTGTGGATTTAGTTGAAAAATGGAGAGACTCAGAAGTGAGATGACTCATTATGGTCATACTGCTAGTAGTAGTAGCCCAAAGTCTTTATTCTATAAGCTTTAAAAACCTGTCTTTGAGCCGGGCCATGGTGGTGCACACCTTTAATCCCAGCTATCAGGAGACAGAGTCTGGCAAACCTCAGTTCGAGGTCAGCGTGGTCTACAAAGTGAGTTCCAGGACAGCCAAGGCTACACAGAGAAACCCTGTCTCCAAAAAAAAAAAAAAAAAAAAAAAGCAAAACAAACAAACAAACAAAAAACCTTTGAGGGTGGGGGCGGCTAGAAAGTTCTGTTTATTAGGTTTATTAGAGATCTTTTTATTATTTTATGTGTGTAGATATTTGGTCTGCTTGTATGTCTGTGCACTGTGTGCATGCCTATTCCCCACAGAGGTCATAGGAGTGTGTTAGAGTCCCTGGAATTGGAGTTACAGACACTTGCAAGCTGCACTGTGGGTTCTGAGAATCAAACCTGGACCCTCTGAAGAACAGCCAGTGATCTTAACCTCTGAGCCATCTCTCCAGCCCCCTAGAGCTCTTTCTTAAACAGTTATTTCTCTCTTTTCTCAGGCGCTATAGTGGCCCCTGGTAAGACCCGAGGAGGGTCACCATACAACCAGTTTGATATAATCCCAGGTGACACGCTGGGTGGCCATACGGGTCCTGCTGGTGATAGCTGGTTACCTGCCAAATCTCCACCGACTAATAAAATCGGAAGTAAATCCAGCAATGCCAGTTGGCCTCCAGGTATTGTTCATAAAATGCTTTTTCTAGAATAGTACTTCTGTTGAATTTAGGTTCTGAACTAGCTTGTGTAGCTTGCTTTACTGAGGAAGCCCCATGCTTCATTGTCTGATAAAGGCAAGACATACACCCTGAAATATGTGCAGTGGGAAAATAAAAGATCTTCAAGAAATGGGTAGTTAGTGATAATAAGTGGCCTTGAAGCTGGGACTTGGCATTTGTTCTGTATGTAGGATGCCATATAACATAAGCTATTTTAAAGTATGTGTTGAATCGATTGATAGATTTATTAGTCAGATATGTCATTAATATGCCCCAGGTACATGGTGATGAGTTCAGTAAGATTTGTGTCTCTCTCTTCTTTCCTCCTTCCTCCCTCTCCTTCCTTTTGTCTCTGTATTCTGTTTTCATTGTAGTTATTAGAGTGAGATGAAATAATGCCTCCTGTTCATGTACAATACATATTGCTCTTCTCTACACAATTAGGGAAATACCAGTTTGTTAATGATATCACATATCTTTAAGTACAGCTTAAGTGGATCAATACAAACATGATAAGCTTCTATATATAGTCTAGGTTTTCTCACAATCAGTTAAATTATTTACAACTATTCCTGAACCGTCTGTGAAGCAATGATCACTTATATTTCATTTTATTATGTTCATTTTGGCCAGTACCTAATTAAGAAAAATGGGAAAGGTCACTGGTCTCAAGCCCAGATTTTTCTCCCAGTTCTTGGCCTCACTTCATTAGGCACGAGTTCTTACTTTCCTTTAAGATTGTAATTCCTCTAGTAGCTGTAAAAATCATATATGGATCCAGGCCTTTATGAATATGATCCAGTTCACCACTTGACAGGTGAATGGACAGACACTATACTAATAGACTTGCTCCCGGCAAAAGCATTTGCTCAGAGTGTCTTTACCTCATGATGACAATATGATGTACAGTAGATTCATTATTTAGACTTTTCATGGGATCATGTTTTTTTCTAATAAACAGTTATTTTAGCATCATAATAACAAATAAAGGTCAGGCATAGTGTGGCCTTTACTTTAATCCCAGCACTCAGAAGGCAGAGGCAGGCAGATCTCTGTGAGTTCCAGGACAGCCAGAGTTACATAGTAAGACTCTAATCTCAAAACGAAAAACAATAGTAATAAATAAAGTAGGAACTGTGTAAATTAAACTTCTTTTTTTTTTAACTATCTCTCATCCCTAACATTTCTTCATGTCTCAGAATTCCAACCAGGAGTGCCATGGAAAGGTATCCAAAATATTGACCCTGAATCTGACCCCTATGTGACTCCAGGAAGTGTGCTGGGGGGTACAGCTACATCTCCCATTGTAGATACTGACCACCAACTGCTGCGGGATAACACCACAGGTAAGTGAGAGCTGCAGACACCAGCATTTTCACAGTTGTTCACCATGGCTTTAGTTCTGTTTGTTGTAGTACCTGATAATTTTAACAGAAAATAGAATAATACTGCTTTTTACGTCTTTATTGTTTGGTTGAATTTTGTTTTCCCTTGTATTTAAGTTTAAATAAAACGCTCACAAGGGTTCCCTGGTCATACTGACATTTGTTTCCAATATTTCTTCTTCTTCATTTGTCACCTCAAGGGTCTAATTCTTCCCTCAACACCTCGCTGCCTTCACCTGGTGCCTGGCCCTACAGTGCCTCTGACAACTCCTTTACCAACGTTCATAGCACTTCAGGTACTTGGTGGCTTTTCCCCTCTTGTCTGGCAGTTGACTGAGAGGTTCCTCTTTTCCGCTGGCATTTACTTCTTAAGGAGTGTCAGTCAGCACAGATGGGGGTGCAACCTTTCTTTGCCTTCACTATCCACTCAGGGAGCAGCTCCTAGTCTCACAGAGATTGGGTAGGTCTCTCACAGGACTACATTGGTCAAAGCTAACAGGAATAGAATGTCATATAGCTGGGGATATTCACAGGGCAGAGTTCATGACCTGATGACCATATGCTTCTGTTAGCCAGCCTGACAAGAAATCAAGGGCCATAGGAAGAGACAGTTTAATCCAGATTAGTGTTGAGGCAACCATCGGCAGCCTACTCTTCCCCCAAAATCTGACTTAGAGACATAATGAAAAATAGATGGCCAGAGTCAAAAAGAGGACCTTGATTAATTTGCCAGTACTACTTGAGATCCTCATTATTTGGCGTGGCAGGGAGGGCTGGTTGGGTTTTGTCATTTATTTGTTTGTTGAGACTTCATGAGGAATAGAGCAGCTAGTAGCAGTTGGAAAGATAGTTCAGTGGTAAAATGCTTGCTGTGCAAGTATGGAAACCTGAGTTCAGTCCCCTACACCCACATAAAAAAATCAGGCAGACCTGAGCAATGGCTCACTGGTTAAGAGCACTGACTGCTCTTCCAGAGGATCTGGGTTCAATTCCAACACCCACATGGCAGCTCACAACTGTCTGTAGCTCCATTTCCAGGGGATCTGGCACCTTCACAGACATATATGCGGACAAAACACCATGCACATAAACTTAAAAAAAATAAAATCAGGCACAACTTAGCACACTTTTAGTCCTAGCATTTAGGAAGTGGAAACAGGTGTAGGTCTATGAGTTTGGGGCTAACTTGTTCTACATAGCAAATTCCAAGACATTCATAGTGAATCCTATCTCAAAAGAAGATGCTCAGGTGTGATGCATACATCTGTAATCCCAGTGCTCAGGCACAAAGACGGGAAGATCCTTGGGCTTTGCTAGTAGCCAGCCTAGCCAATTCAGTGTGCTACAGGTTAAGGGAGAGTCATTATTTTAAAAACCAAGGTACAAAAAAAAATTTAGCTGGATGGTGGTGACACATGCCTTTAATCCCAACACTCAGGAGGCAGAGGCAGGTGGATCTCTGTGAATTTGTAGCCAGCCTGGTCTACAGAGCGAGTTCCAGGACAGGCTCCAAAGCTACAGAGAAACCCTGTCTCGAGGAGGAAAAACAAACCTAAGGAAGGCAGTTGTATCACACCAACAGTGCCACAGTAGCCCTGCACACTTGCTGAGTGTTCCTATAGGCCAGGCATCATAGTCAACTTGAGCATAAACTCCCTTTGGTCTTTCTCCTACTGTGGTATGGGTTACCCTCACTTAGTAGATTAACTAAGACGATTGTGAATGAATTCCTACAGTCTGGCGTGGGTTAAGACCCTGTGTCAATATACCAAACAAAAATACTGTTACATTTTGCCTCAGAACTGACTGAGCCTAAATTTTAAAGGAAGCACCTTAGTGCTTAACACCTTCCCCATATTTTTCTTGATAGAACTTCATTTCCTTGTAAAACTTGCACAAGCTGGCACAGCCTGACGACTGCTGTGGTGCCCAGATCCCGCAGTAGGAGAGATCCACACATGCTCCATGCTGTGCATGCCGACACCCACAGTCACACCTGTACATGGACACCATAATAGAATAACAAAACAAACTTGTCTAACTCTTCCTTTTGTTTGATTAAGGAATGTGTTTGGTTGTTTTTCTTTTGACACGGGGTCTCGTGTAGCTCAGGATAGCCTCACGTTCCCTTTGCTCCCCCTGCCTTCACTCTCATGTGCCGCCACAACTGGCTAAAGCTTTGAGACGTCTCAGTTACCTGGGTTGCTCTCTGTTTCCTTGAGCTGAAGCAGTCCTCAGCCTCAGTCTCCCCAGCAGCTTGTCCACACAGGCACATGGCTGCCTTCTCTGGCACTCTTCTTTTTCCTTGTTCCTATAAAAAACCCGCTCTCAGGAATTATCTTCTTGCAGTTGGACATTGACCTGAGACTTCCCTAACGGTTATTTTGGCTATCCTTAGAACAGTCTTTCCTACTTCATTCGCTGGACCCCAAGCCCTGTCTCTCAGGGAATATATTTGACAGTCATAATTTTCATCTCCACTCCCTTTGGTTCATTCTGTTCTCACTCTGGTTTATGCTGAGTCGTATGGAAACTCTACTGCAGCTTACATAGCCACAGTGTACCTATGGCCTCTTAGCTCTCTGCCCCATGAAAACTGAAAGAACTTCTGCTGAACCTAGATTTTCTTTTTCCTGCTTTTCTGAGCCCATCCCTTGATGTAAACCCTTCAGATTTATCTTTGTAGAGCCTCTGCTGACAGCCTAATGTTCTCTGTCTTCTGTGTATTGAACATATGTGCTGTTGTCAAGGATACCAGTTCTGTTTTTCTGTCTCGCATCTGAATCAGAGGCTCTGCAAGATAATTGTGTTACCCACACTACTGTCGGGTGCCTTAAGCCTAGTAAGCAGAGGTGGTTATTTGATGACTTTCTTTTAGATATTTTTATTTTATTGTATGTGTATGAGTATTTGCCTGCATGTATGTGCCTAGTGCCCACAGATGTTAAAAGAGATTGTGGGATCCCCTGGAATTGCAATGTTTGTGAGCCACCATGATGGAAATTAAACCCAGATCCTTTACAAGAGCAACAAGTAATCCAAACCACTAAGCCATTGCTCCAGCCTTATTGACTATTTTTAAAATCAGTGTTGGTGTCTAACATGTATCAAATCACAAGCATTGCATAATTTTCTAGTTTTGTTTTGATTTTCATGGTAGTTAGTGAGCATTTAGTGAGTACTCTAGTTCTGTTTGTATTAACAGTCTAACCCTGTCTGTCCTTTTCAGAAATATTTTCTCCATGAGTTTCTCTTTTCTTTCAAGTTGTGTTTACCCAAGAAAGTAGTAGGAGATTAGTTACCTTATTAAATCTTTGTCAGTTTAGAATCATTTTAAAATTTAGCACACTCAACAGTTATTTTCTTACTGCCCCCCCCCATATTTTTTCTGAGACAGGATTTCTCTGTGTAGCCCTGGCTGTCCTGAAACTTGCTCTTGTAGATCAGACTGGTTTATAACTTAATAGATCTGCCTGTCTGCCTCCCTAATGCTGGGATTAAAGGCATGCGCCACCACTGCCCAGCTCATACTGCTGCTCTTAACATGTATTCTTCCTGCTACTCTTCAATGTTTTTGAGACAGAGTTCAACAGAGTTATAGAATATAAATATATTTGTGTTTATGTGCAAATAAAATTTGTGTCTTTTTTTTAATATTTATTTATTTATTATGTATACAATATTCTGTCTGTGTGTATGCCTGAAGGCCAGAAGAGGGCACCAGACCTCTTTACAGATGGTTGTGAGCCACCATGTGGTTGCTGAGAATTGAACTCAGGACCTTTGGAAGAGCAGGCAATGCTCTTAACCACTGAGCCATCTCTCCAGCCCCCAAATTTGTGTCTGTTTATGGGCAGGTGCCCATCTAATGTGGCTTCTTCTTGACCTTTCTCTTCTCACAGCAAAGTTCCCTGATTACAAATCCACGTGGTCCCCAGATCCCATAGGACACAACCCCACTCATCTCTCCAACAAGATGTGGAAAAACCACATCTCCTCCAGGAACACTACACCGTTGCCCCGCCCACCTCCTGGCCTGACCAACCCCAAACCGGCATCTCCTTGGAGCAGCACAGCACCCAGATCAGTCAGGGGGTGGGGAACACAGGACTCTCGGATTGCCTCGGGTGAGGAGGATCAGCCAAGCAGAAATGGCTATTTAATACCTTGGGGAGGGTTGAATGGAGGAGAGCATAGCTGTCTGGTAGAAGAAGAAGCATCTTTTGATTGAAAAGTTGTGCACAGTACAGATGAAGAGACCCAGGACCTCTCTAGGGCACATGAAGTAAAAATGAGCAACTGGAGAGGGCGGTCAGGTGGGAGGGAAGACTGGCTTACACAAAGCAAATGAATTCACTGGGTTCAAGAACTAGAAGAGCCGGGCGATGGTGGCGCACACCTTTAATCCCAGCACTCGGGAGGCAGAGGCAGGCGGATCTCTGAGAGTTCAAGACCAGCTTGGTCTACAGAGCTAGTTCCAGGACAGACAGGCTCCAAAGCCACAAAGAAACCCTGTCTCGAAAAACCAAAAAAAAAAAAAAAAA